TCATCATCACGAATTATAACTTTCATACAAGCCCGTCATTTGAGGGTCACTTTGACTCTTTCTTTAGAGTCCTCAAATTGGTTATGAAGTTCGCCTTGGTCAACTCTTATCAATTTGCCCTCTTACACAGGCGAAAACAAAATGTCTACCACATAATGACAGCTTCTTTAATTACTCTGTACTTTGCGATTCATTCCTAACTCAACCAATTTGTATAACTATTGTAAACAAGTCTCTTCGATGTCTAGTATCACCAACACCACTACCAGGCGTTCTTCGTTCTGAGTAACATGCATGGACAGATGGATGGATCGGCCGTCTGGGGTCAATTTTATGGCCTCCGCATTCACCGGACCTAAATCCACTGGATATTTTTTATTGGGGCTGCCTTAAGGAAATTGTGTATAATAAGCCGATCAGCTCCTTGAAAAGACTTTCGTAGCCGTGCCAGTGCAGCCGCTGCAACAATAAGTGGACGACGATATAGGTACGCGGCTACTCAAAAGGGCTTTTATTCGAGGATGTAGAGCCTGCATCAGAGTCGGTGGTAAACAGTTTGAACATTTGCTGTTAACAAATTGTAAATAAAGTTGTATTTATTTCTAATATTGTTTTTTTTATTGAACCTCAATAGTCAAGCTCAAATCAGGACAAAAAATGGTCCAATTTTGAAAACTTAGTTTTTCTCAAATTTACTCCTTTTGCACATTAATGGCAATAATTTTCTATTTATATTAGATACAATAATGAATTATACCATTTTAAAATCTACTTTAAACACACATTATTGTAGAATAGTTGGCCACTTTAGCTATCATGATTTTTTTTTTATATCAAAGCTACTTAAAGTGTTGTTGTTGTGTTTTGTTGGCGTGTCGTGACGCCAGTGACGCGTCAGAACGGTATAGGTCTCTTACACACAGCACAAGCCGTCACGTCAGATTGTGACACATTAATATACTTAAATCTAACCATATTAAATATAAATAACCGATACCGTTCTGACGAGACACGACACGACACGTCAGACAAATGTAAATCCGGCTTCACTTATATAATGTATACACATATTATAAAAAAATAGCCCACGCCTCACCAGTCATATTAAGGCGTTTGGATAATGCCAAATACGGCAAAGATTTTATTCGAAAAACAACGTATTTAAGTACAGTCAAGAGCACGTCAAGCTTGACACTTTGTACTTTGGACCGTTCTTATTGTAAGCGGCATAGAGTTGGATTTAAATTTTAATTGTCAAGATTGACGTGCTCTTGACCCTGTACCTACATATAGAGTTGGCCAAAAAATCCGTGTGGTATCAAAGTATAAATATGTATTGGCTATAATTGATCTACAATCTTTTGCCATCGTTCGGGTCATTTTAAAATTCCCCTATCATAGAAAATATACTTGTAAGTACCTTTTTATGGCCTCTTCGTAATCGTTCGCTCGAAAAGTCGTGTCCATTCAAAGAATTTTGTAAAGAGCGAAGCAAATGAAAATCTGAAAGCGCTATGTCGGTCACATGCGGAAGATGTGTAACACATCTCAATGTCCCAACCTAACTGCAGTAGTTTTTGACGGCTTTGTAAGATGTGTAGCATTATACAACGAAATACACCGTTACGTTTCACCAGTGGTAAGTGTTTTTCATGAGTTTTTAAACTTAAAGCTTTCCCGCCTATTCTTAAAATGCGCGCTAAAATATTATTTATTAAAAAACCATAGACAATGTAACATTTTAAAATAAAAAGTTTTTTTTCGTTTAAAGTTAACTACCGACAAAAACGCCCGGAAGTTTTGGCCAACGTATTATTTCGTACGTTTTTTAAAAATATTTTTCAGTAATGTTAATATCCAATGTCGCCACTTTGTTAATTAGGGCGCGCAATGTAGTTTAACATTGTAAATTACACTATGCATTGGTAATCGTATACGCCTGCTATGTTATAGAAGATCACAATAAGCTGTCCACCTAAATTCGATCGAGTTTCGAGTGGTTAAACCAGTAGTAACACTAGCCAGTACCTTCACCGACATCACTGCCAGAGTGTGCCATTGCGTACGCGCCATTTAATAATGGCCTTGACACCTTCATTGTGAGCCTCTAAGATTACAGATGATATCGAACCTTTGGGGACAGATACATTGTATATTGTGTAATTTGGCTTTCCTGGCACTGGTTGTTTATTTTTAGGGTTCTTTGACAATATGACATACAGAGAAATTCTTGTACTCTCCTCGTGTGTGTAAATCTGTGCCTGTCTGAAATATATATACTAATATATTATAGCTCAGACCACACAGAAGCGGTACAGCGAGAAAAGCAATCCAATGAACTTAAGCAGCATAGTAGAGCTCCTTGTGAAAGAGTTCGTCCAGGGTAGTACTGCCACCTTACCTATATCTGCCGCCAAGCAGTAATGTTAGCATTACTGCGTTCCGGTTTTTAAGGGTAAGGGTGCTAGTGAAATTACAGGCACATGGGACTTGTCAACTTATGTCCCAGGGTGACAGGAGGCCACTGCAACTGTCATGGATAGAAGTGAACTAAAAAATGTGTGTGTGAAATAAAAAAAATGTGCATGCTACATCGTCGACCTTATCGTGATGCCATCAGTTGAGATGGAGGTCAAATGCGCACTTTTTTTATAAAAACAGTTACGACAAAGTGTCAGATATATCAAACTACAGTTATTGAGAAGGGAAGCTTTATGACGTACTATTGCAGTCACAATGGTACCTTATCTGTTTCACAAACAAACTAAGCTAGAGGGATCGAGGTGACAGATTGTATCAGTTCACCTTGTGCAATAGTGTCAACCCATTCCCTTAGGCATTGAAAGGGACAAAAAGATTAACGTCATCGGTTTCCGGCGATGCCTTGAGGCAGATAAAAAGCTGTGGTATTGCTTTTACTAATTATATTAGTAGATATATCTGAGTGTTGAAATTTAGAGACACTAACCAAGATGCAAAGCGATTAGATATGTTTTTTTTTTAATAAATTGATTATGACGAGTATCGAACTAGGAATCACAAGGCCAGAATTACTGAACGCATGAGTCACCGAAGCGAACAAATAACACTTAATAAGACATAAATAGCAGATTACAAATAAAGACATTAAAAAAGTAAAAATCATGTATAAGTCAATCTCAGTCAGTCGTCAAAGTCATCAACCCACTGCTGCGCACGGTTCTTTTCCGGGGGAGCTGTGCCTGCAGTCCGCAATGCTGCAGCATAATGGAATCCTGGCTAAGAAGGGTTTCCATATTTTCCGAAGATTGTGAACCTTCTTCGACATATGCGAGAAGCTCGGCTACTGAACGTTCACAAATGTGCAAAACTTTGAAATTAAAGTTATAGGCACATACCGCCCAAGGGATTCGAACCGTCGACCTCTCAATTGCGTGGCAATCGTTCTCTCTCTGGGCTACCACCGCTCTACTTTTGCGTTACAAATACGAGTATAATAATAATAAATCATTTATTTCAGGCAAATTGGCCCCAAACACATTTTGTAAATTAAAGATAAATTTAAAAGTTTATTTAAATATTGGTAACCAGAAATTAAATTGAAATAATAATAAAAATATTAAAATTATGTATTAAAAACATTGATTTACAATTATATGGACGTCAGGTCCGCGCTAAAAAGTGTCCGAACTTATAGGGCGTTAAAATCGTATACTGAGCGTCATTCACGCTTTAGTCTTCGTTTGTTCGACTGACAGCGAAGCAAGCAAAATTAGACAGTACTGCGATGACATTACAATTTAAATTCAACGTTTTAACTTTTTCATATTCCTTTACATGTCACTACGTTTAAATAGGTTGACTTGAGACATTTTTTTCGTGGTTTTTTTATTAGACCCGTCGTCCATTTATTTGTAAGTCAATGACTAAAAAACTAAAATTCCGATATTAATAAAACTAAAATAAATTTTAATATTGAAATAAAAATAACTATAATTCTCCCACTTAATAAGGCGGGATGTATGGCATACACTTGCAACTACCTGCGCATAAGCAAGTCCCAGCGCTCGGATAATGCGTTCAGGATTCCGTTGATGCTGTTCCGAAGGCGAAATAATAACGAAGCGCACCATTTGCGTATTACAGCGTTACATTTATGTTTTTGCTAAAGTTGTTTCTTATCAAGAGTACAACCATTAGCCTGTCATCATTACGCCCGGACGACATTTACTACCGTAAACGACAACAGGTTAACTTGTTTTTTTATGCGCAGCATTCTTCGATAGCACCACATTTCGAACGCTTCAAGTTTCTTCCATATCTCCTTTTATGGCTACACAATACTTTTGTAAAAGGAATTATTTTACTGAATTAAGATTTTTTTTACGGGTCGATTATATCTCTGTAACTATTTATGTGTTTTAATTATTAGAAATAATAAAAACGATGTTATAATCGACGGCCTCCATGGTCAAGTGGCTTGCACATCGGTTTTCAAGGCGTCGCCATCTCTAAGGTTCCGGCCGGGTCAGTGTAGAGAACGAACTTTTTCTATGTTGCCTCGAGTCTATAATTTAGTGGTACCGTTGATGTTTCCGATTACCATACTACAAGTGCTTTAGGTACTTACTTTGGGATCAAAGCAACGTATAATGATGTTGTATAATATCTATTTATATTGTATATTAATTAGAATTTAAAATATACTAACTCTAAATTCGCTTAAATTCCATTCTCTGCCTGTTTCTTTGCAATACTGTTTACTGCTAAGTGTAGTATTATAGTTCTTTAGTCGGTTCGTATGTCATTTGAGGTTTAAAAATGTAATAATTATTATTTCCGTAGTAAGCGTTTTATATAATACAATGAATAACACACCTTATTTATTCATGTAAGATTTAATCAAAAACATATTTGTTTCCATATACATGGTCACCAGCGGTGAATTTCTTGTCAGATGAAGCCTGAAAGACAGCAAGTTGCTCTTGCCTCTTTAAGCGACTTAAAAAAAGGAGGTTTTCAATTTCATCGTATTTTTTTACTCCGATATTTGTGAACCGATGTCGAAGACTTTATTTGTTGGAAAAGGGGCCTCACTAGTGATCCCATTCAAATTTGAAGAAAATATTATCATAACAGTCATATTTTGTCCACAGATGGCGTTGACGTGCGACTGCCCGATGTCGCAGCCGGGCCCAACTTTGGCCGCGACTTGTGGCGGAGGGGCATTCATGCTCTTCATGGGGCTGCTCGAGGTGTTCCTAAGAAGCCAGTGCGACTTAGAGGATCCCTGTGGACGTGCACAGGTATTAGACTGGTTTATCAGTGCGAATTTAACTGCGGACCGTCCGCGCGGAGCACCGGAACACAGTAACACATGTGGCGTTAGAACATCGTTTTACAGGGGCCCCGATTTGGCAGAAGTCACCCATGCGTTCATTGCAGGCGACGATCTGCCGTGAATATCCTCACTAATTTAAAAACTCGATACAGTGCACTGCGGATTATACACATGCGGATGGCCCGCAGGCGGACAGTCCGTATACGGGCTCCATTTACTGCGTTTCCTTTTCGTACCCTTCTTTCAATGTCCTCATCAAACTTCCATCTCTTGTAAACACACTACCCAGGTACACAAACTCATCCACTTGATCAACATTCAAGCCTTGTATTTTAATCTTACGTACCGTCACTTTCTCATCTCTTTCGAAAACCACCAGTTTCGTCTTCTCAGCATCCAGCAATTGGAATTAATTAACTATCAAAACCAAAAACCTGAGCCTACCTAAAAATTATAACGAATGTTTTTTTGGCGACAACCACACGAATTTACCATCACGAAAATTTCGTACAATTCCTCAAGACTTACACAAACTGTATGTAAACACACACACACACACACACACACACGCGCGCGCGCGCATTTTTTGCAACATTCCCTCCGACGGCGCAGAGATCACTCGGTCATCGATGAATACGACGCATTTGCTGCTACTGGACTTGCCCACTTGTACTCCATAATCACCTTCACACAGCGCCTTTATACAGTTGTCCATAAACAGACTGAAGAGCCAGGATAACGCCACAACGAAAATACCACTCATAGAATAGAACATCGATGCTCCATTCAGGAAATAAATTTACATTATTTTCCTCCAATTTCAAATGTCAATCGTATTTACCCTTTAGCAATAAGATTCTTGTTTCGTGATTTCCTTGCAATCGAGGACTTACGACTGTGATTGCTCTGCAATTATGCCAATCATCCGGCGAAACTGCTCTTTCGCTTCCTCGAACAGTCAAATTAGGATTTGTGGTTGATACGGTTTATATTTGGCATTACATTACACAATATGTGTGGACTAACTTTTCTCAGTCAGTGTAGAGATCTCAGTCATAAAATGAATGTTTGTTTTATTTCTACTCATTCGATCGACTTAGAATTTAGTATACTAAAACCCTCTTTGTCATAAGTAACGCGCGTAATCGACATTGTTAGCGAATTAACATTATCTGGGATCCCTATAAGCGGTTTTTTATACCTTATTTACTTTCAGTTTTATTGTTACCATTGACTTACAAATAAATGGACGACGGGTCTAATACAAAAACCACGAAAAAAATGTCCCAAGTCAACCTATTTAGACGTAGTGACATGTAAAGGAATAAGAAAAAGCTAAAACGTTGAATTTAAATTGTAATGTCATCGCAGTACTGTCTAATTTTGCTTGCTTCGTTGTCAGTCGAACAAACGAAGACTAAAGCGTGAATGACGCTCTGTGTACGATTTTAACGCCCTATAAGTTCGGACACTTTTTAGCGCGGACCCGAACGTCCATATAATTGTAAGTCGATGGTCGCACTTGTAGTCACTACATTTAAATAGGTTGACTTGGGACATTTTTTTCGCGGTTTTTGTATTAGACCCGTCATCCATTTATTTGTAAGTCAATGAGTGCGACTATTATTTTTGCATTCCAAAGTAGCGATATAAAATTTTTTTTCTGCGATTTTCCAGTTTTTGCGCGAAAGCGACAATGACGAACTGAGCTCAAGTTTGCGGAGCTCCGCGAATTGTTGACACACTAGACACGCCAACTAAGCACTTCTACTGTATTTATTGTTCTCTGTTACTAGCGAAAAAACTTTAGCTGCCAATGTTTATAATGCGGTAGTTACGACAAGGAGGGCAGTATGGTAATCCGATGACATTACGATAATACTTGATATGATGCTACAAACAGGGCACCCTGCAGACTACCCAACTACTTACAGTAGAATTGGTCTCGATGAGTTCTTAGCTTATAGATAGTGACTTTGTTGACTATATGGAGTACTCTGTTTCGTGTCAGAGTACTTTAAATGAAGTGTTATTTTGCAATATGGAAAATGATAACAAAAAAACTTATAGTTCCAACACCCTCTAGCACGAATGCTCACCAGTTAAGAGGTTAACCAACCGCAACAATGATGTGAACGTACGTAAACAGCAGGCGGCGTATTAATTATGCACCATACAATTGTCTAAGTAGGAAATTCATTACGACGTAACGCAGGAAGACTTCCCGTGCTATAGAATGCGCGAGATTTGAATTTTATAAGTGTAACGTGATCAACCTTGTACGATGATAATGTGCTTTTCCTCATTTTTTTGCTTTACACTAAGTATGTTAGGCATGTTGCACAAAAAAGGCCCAAAAAGTTGTAAGGATGATTGGCGCCATGCAAGCAGGTGATGCCAAGAGCTCTTTCAGCATCGTGACAATAAAAAATCGTACTTTTTACACTATAATCTCAGTACAGAGTACTAAAAAACCGACCTCAAAAGTGCGCAAACCCGGATTCATCCCCTAGTTCGCCACTATACGGGACTTGACACAGGAGATAATAAAAACCGCCTTGAATTGGATAATAGCAAAATCAACCATTAAAATAATTGCTTCTCATAATAAAATTTAGGCGCTATTTATAAAAATGAACCGTCATACGTGAACAGCCACCCTTAGAGGTAGATGATTTTCTTCAAAATTAAATGGGACCACTATGGTATCATTATACAATATATCATATGTATATGAGAAATTAAGAATTCATTCAGGTGGTTTACCGTTAAATCATTGATTACAGATTTTTTCTGCAATTTCTTCAGATTCAACTTTTTACCTCTGCTACGTAATCTCCTCTAAACAGTTCTCCAGCCAATCGTAAAAACCTCTTCTATACGTACCTACTTTAACGTACTTGCACTTAATAATTATATTTTTTTAACTCTAATTTACTTTTTTAATTTTTAATAAAAAAAAATAAAAATATAAAATTAAAAATTAAACAGCGTGATCCACTACGATGGCACGTAAATACAGTGAATACGTGAATATCTATACTCTAGCCATAAAACGGGAAACTTATACATGGCTTCCCACGACTGTGGGACACGTTGAGATAGCACTGAAATAATTTATAGATAGGATATTTTGCTTAATGAAGACATTATTTTATTTTTAAAAGTAATTATATTCAAAGATTTTTAAAATGTTGCATGCCTCGTGCGAGAATGAAATCGACCAAATGTGAAAAAAAAACGTCCTTCATTTTATGATGCCAATTGTTTACTGACGTACTATCTTAGTTTTAAGGAACGCCATGAAATTTTACATTTATATTCCAGGATACAAAAATGAAACTGAAATTAATGTAATAACAAATTATGCAAAATATTGTTTCCAGTTTCGTCGGCACATGGACTCCGTATACGACTTCATTGTGATCGGTGGAGGATCAGCGGGCTCCGTGGTAGCAGCTAGACTTTCTGAAGTACCGCAATGGAGGGTTCTGCTGCTTGAAGCAGGTAAAGACCCTTCAACTAATTTATGAAGAAAATGTTCTCAAAATAACAGGGATTTTTGTTGAACACTCTTAAAACAAATTATTTCTGTTTGATTCGCCGTTGCCCGTTAAAAAGTATTTTTTATTCCTATGATAAAACAGTACAATAAATCAGTCATTATGTCGATCTACTGAATCCGTAGTTATTAACAAAGTGTTAAAATCAATATTTTTCTCCTTATTTTAATTCGTTCACCCGAATTAGCTGAATTGGCAGCTTAGACCATTGCTCCGATGCGATGAGCGAAACACAGAATACAACTGCCTCCGTAGCCTAACGGTTTCCATGATGGTCTGGCACGCAGAGGTTCGATTCCCGGGCCGAGAGAAATATATTACGGCCTACATTTATTTCTCTCGTAAGTTTGAGTGCAATTTGTGAGTATAGGGTTTTCCTAGTGCGGGGTTATGAGTGTGTGCATTAAAAGTCAAAAAAAAAAATAGGAAATTAAAAAATGTTCATCTTCACATCTTTTTTCGTAAAGTATTAAAAACCCATTTAAAATCCAATAAATAAGATTCCGGTTGATATTCAAAATTTGCCATTTACAAGTTTTAAACTATAGTGAAACAAAAACTTTTTACAGAACAATAATCCGTGGTAACGACATGTTTAGCTCTTGCAGGTTGTCTCGGGGTATGATATTTGAAATAAATATTGGAAATAATAAATGTGTACAAACGTTTATTTTCAAAGAGCAACCCTTAGGGTTCCCAACCTTTTTGGCTCAACGCCCACTTCGGCAAGATAAAGAAATTTCAACGACCAACCACCACAAAAAAAAACACTTATTTATTATATTTACTTAACACAAAAAAATCACAAGGAAAAAAAAAAATTATGTAAGTAGTATAGTTTATATGTTTATATAGATAATTCGGTTGTTTTTTTCAAATGCGGTAGCACTCCCTGGACAGCATCAACGCCCCAATTGCTTCCGAGGCCCTTGCCGCCCCCTTAAGATTCTTCAGTGCCCACTGGAGGGGCGGTAGGGACCACTTTGGGAAACCATGCCCTAGAGTTTTTTTACTCATTCTTCTCATGGGAATCCGCCTTATGAACGACTAGCAGAGTTTAATCAATATTAACTTTAACTTGCTTACCTATAAATAAAGATTAATTGACTTTTTGTTTCCTTCTCTTATTAAGAATTCCGGTTTCCAGGTTTCGACGAACCGACAGGAACACAAGTTCCTTCAATGTTCCTGAACTTTATAGGCTCCAGCATCGACTGGGGTTATCAAACGGAGCCTGAGCCCGCAGCTTGTCTTGGAGAGACTGATAGAAAATGCTATTGGCCTAGAGGAAAGGTAAATTCACTTATACTTCTTGTCTTCATAATTCTTCAAAGAACAGAAACCACAACCTAAACAGAATTCATACATCGTAAAGTAAAAAAATAGTACGTAGTACTAGAATAAATAAATAGCTCGCTGCAGGAAGCAAAACGTTCCTGTACATACCTAATCTGTGCGCTGAACCAAGTCATAAAACATAGACTTCACTTACCTCTTCCTTGTAAATGTCTGAGAAACTGCTAGAAGTAGTAGTACCTGATCTATCATTCCAGGAGCTAATTTTATTTTCTACACCACAACCAGGTGCTTGGCGGTACATCAGTAATGAACGGTATGATGTACATGCGAGGTTCGCGCAAGGACTACGACGAATGGGCAGCAGCAGGCAACGAAGGCTGGTCCTACGATGAGGTCCTCCCGTACTTCCTCAAATCCGAAGACAACAAGCAAATCGAGGCTATGGACCAGGGGTATCATGCGACTGGAGGACCATTGACTGTCGCTCAGTTCCCGTATCATCCGCCTTTGAGTTACGCTATTGTGAAAGCTGGAGAAGAATTAGGTATATTACTTTTCTCGTTACGGCTTAGGTCATGTATTGTAAACTGACATAGGTATATGCAGGTTTTGCTGTAACTAACAATAACCTACCAAAAGGACAATGGTACCTAATTGCCACTTTTAACAATAGACAAGATGACGTCCACAGTTATTATCAAATTAAAGATACAAAATTATCTAGCTACGTGAGCAAAACTATACAATTAAGTTTTTTTTATCCCATAGTAGTACCAAATTCCCATAAAACTTACACCATTTCACTAATTGACCTCAGGTTACCCAGCTAGAGACCTAAATGGAGCACAACATACCGGTTTCTCAATCGCCCAGACAACCAACCGTAATGGTTCCCGTCTGTCCGTCGCCCGCGCATTCCTACGACCCGTTAAGAATAGACAAAATCTTCACGTCATGCTAAATGCAACTGTTACTAAGATATTGATCAATCAGACGACGAGAACGGCGTATGCTGTGGAAGTCAGAAACAGTTTTGGTGGCACTGAAGTCATATATTCTAACAATGAAATTATTTTGAGGTAAGTCTAAAGCCATTAACATTCCTGGCCAAGGGCCAAAAGATATACAATAGAAAAACTCAATAAACTGGAGCTAAAAAATGTCACAATTTATTTCACAGTGCAGGAGCAGTGGCATCACCCCAAATCCTGCAACTGAGCGGAGTCGGTGACCCAGCAGTCCTCAATAATGCCGGCGTGAAGCTTGTTCATCGTCTCCCTGCCGTAGGACACAACTTGCACAACCATGTGGCTCATTTCCTTAACTTCCAAATCAATGATAATAACACTACGCCACTCAACTGGGCCACGGCCATGGAATATTTGCTGTTTAGGGATGGACTGATGTCTGGGACTGGTAAGAGAAAAACGTAAACAGGGTTGCTGTCCTGAATCCGTGTTAGATAAACAGAAATTGTACCTTATTTTTGTACAATGTGTAAAAAGAAAGCTACTGAGACAATTTTTTCCTACTTATCGAAATCTTACTTAAAAATAATTCATCTAAACAAGTTTTTGATTGGTATTAGAAGTTTCCAATAAGCAAGATAGTTTCATGGAATTTCCAGGTATATCCGAAGTGACCGCCTTCATAAACACAAAGTACTCAAATCCAGCGGAAGATCATCCCGACATCCAGCTATTCTTCGGCGGCTTTCTGGCTGACTGCGCCAAAACAGGCATGGTTGGAGAACGTTTGGACAACGGGTCTCGGACCATCCAGATTATTCCGACGGTGCTGCATCCCAAAAGCAGAGGGCGGTTGGAAATACGATCAGCTAATCCGTTTGATTATCCCAAGATTCATGCCAAGTACGCTTTAGTCATTTTCAACGAATTTTCCAACTCGCTATAAACTCAGCCTGTGATTTACGAAAAGCAATTTTTCCTTTTCAGCTACCTAACCCACCCAGATGACGTAAAAACCTTAATCGAAGGTATCAAATTTGCTATCAGACTGTCAGAGGCGAAAGCCCTGAAGAGGTTTGGTGTGCAACTGGATAAAACACCAGTGAAAGGGTGCGAGAAGATAAAGTTTGGCTGTGACGCATACTGGGAGTGCGCGGTGAGGATGCAGACGGCACCGGAGAATCATCAGGCGGGATCCTGCAAGATGGGACCTAGGGGAGATCCCAGTGCTGTCGTTGATAATTTACTGCAGGTAACGAAACAAACAGCGCTAATTAAGACTAAAGCTAGTTGCCAAGACATGTAATATGAACAAAACAATGATAGGCAGAATTGTAGGGAAACAGAAATCGACCTTTTCGCTTCCGCGACGGTGCACTAACACAGAAATCGAGGTTTATGCGCATCACCACCCTGATAATACAGTAGAAGCATATCTTCCGGAAATTCAGCAGTGCATTGCTTTGAATAAACTTTGATTTGAAGACTTAATTCAAACCTTCGACTTGTTCGCTGAACATTCTTCCCTCCAGGTGCAAGGCATTGACCGCCTGCGCGTGGCGGACGCCAGCATAATGCCCGCTGTTACTACGGGCAACACCAATGCTCCCACCGTCATGATTGCAGAGAAGGTGTCCGATTTCATTAAACAGCGATGGCTGGGGACTACTACTGTAAGTTTTCTCGCTGTAAAAAAATGTTAACGACTTATTATAGTACCCTCTGAATACAAAGTTAATAATTACTGAATCGAAGGTTAATTACTAAGGAGCCAGTTAATAATTACTCAAAACACTTCGCGGTTACATTCATATCAAACTGCACGTGTAGCATTCCATATGAGACAAGATTTTAATATAGACACGGTACATAGTGAAGGTGGTGATATTACTGTTAATTTTCGCAACACAATATTGCTCTCTTTTGTATCTTCTAGACCCCTCTGGGCGATGGCGGTGAGTCCAACGTGCTAACAGCCAGCGACTCGCAGCAAAACAACATTTGGCAGCGGTGGGCCTGACCCAGACCGAAACCCAAGATGTTGTTCAATGTCAGGCGAGACAGAAGACGGTACATTGACAAGAGGAAGATATATGGAAATAATACGCAGCCATATTTGTCAGCTACAACTCAGGATGTCAAGGAACATAAACATACTATTATCAAAGTACTGAAACCGGATATATATCCAAAACTTATTAGGATATGATACGGGGGACTGCAAGTTAAAAGGCGCAGCAGATAAAAGGATAAGGGAGATGCCACACACGGGCGTTGCGTCGGCGTTGCATTGTCGCAACTGCGTTGATTTCAACCGACTTACTGACACATGAGCTGTTCCGTTCGATGCGCGCTGTTTCAACGCACCATATGGCATGTCCTTCTGTTTCATATGTAGTACAACGCAGTTGCGACGACGAAAACGCCCGTGTGGCATCTCCCTAATCTGGACACCTTCGATAAAGCGGGACTGTCCTAAGTCTAAACGCATCCGCACCTTATCTAATACGATTGTAACTCTGTTAACAAGTGACGTTTGTAATTTAGACTCAATTTCTGTGGTGTCCTCCTCTAAGGCCTTTTTGATTATCAGCCGAAAAATTTTAAATAAGTTATCTGATGCCGTCGACTGTACGCGTAGAATACCGGAATTCCTATTGCGTGATGAGAAACACAAGGAGGCTTATGTAGAGGTAAATAAATTATTTAATAATTCATTACATGAGATTAAAATTTAGGCAATAAATATCATTCGTTTTTGATGAGCCGACAAATATAATTGTAAAAAAAAGAGTAAAAATATTTTTTTATAATTATTAATATGAAGATCCAATACTAACAAAAATTTCCTTCGCTCCAGCTGGATTCGAACGAACGTCTTCCAGCAAACCAATTTAGCACGCCATGCCAACTGCATAGCATCTGCCACGGTTTGCTGGAAGACGTTGGTTCGAATCCAGCCAGATCGAAAGAAATGTTTTTTAAGTGGTCGATCTTCGTATTAATATAACAAAGTAGTGGAGTAATTTCACGAAAATAATTGAATTTAAAAGTTACAAAAAAATATTACATTTTTTATGCTCAAAATGGTTTATAAAACCCAGAGTGTTAAAAATAACGTCTTAAATTTCATGTCCTGACTCTATCCGTGATTGTAAACAACAAACAATCCAAAGAACACTTATCGAATTCACAAAAAAATTTCAAGTTCAAACCTTGATGTTCAGTATTGTTCGGTGTTAGTAAGATTAGTGTCGCGCAAGTATTTGAGTATAGTTTGAAGATAAATAAAGTAAAAGCTCGCCCTTTTTTTCGGTGGCTGTCAAGGCCATCAGCGGCCACCCGCTAAATATCCTTAAAAAAAATTGATTAGCGGTGAGTTGGTTTCTTAATTGTATTATCCAATACAAGTATCACGGGTAGAGTCATCCCATCATACAACATTAAAAATACTACATTTATAACATTAGTTATTGGACACAGCTCACAAAAGATTATAATGAATGATTATTTTAAAACAGATTTTAAGAACTATGCCAATTTAGTACAGAATATTAAATTAACGCCTAGTTACCATTTCTTTGTGATTTAATTAGACTTAATTATTAGTGGGATTATTATGTACAAATTAATATTTATTCTTTTTTTATACAGACCACAGTATTTCTTTTGTATACTTTAATTTATTAAGTAATTATTATGTAAGGCTAAGTAAGTTCAAAATTATGCAAACTTGAATACTGTAACTGAATATTAACACTAAAGTGTTATGCAGACTAGTATATTATATAGAATCTCATGTAGGGGAATAAAATGCACCAGGCACTAGCACTTCATTGGAGCTATTATCTGGTACATTTATTGCTGCGTTTTCAGTTTCAAGAAACTAACCAATCAAATTAGGTGATGGGTTACTTCCTTCAAATTGACATTTTATTTGTGCGCTAAAAAACGTTCATAATCCGGATAACAAAATTAAATTTCCAGCACTTGCAGTACCAGTTAACACTTAAGTCACCATTGTCGTAAAAGAAATTGAGATACAGGCATATGTCTTATAATTCTATCTTCTTGTTATAGAAAAGGTTGTTACTCTTAATAAATATAAAAATGTTGCTAATAAATAGACTTGGGACTGTAATATTAAAATAGTATTTTTAACCGACATCAAAAAAAGGACTTTTTGTGTATGTTACGAGATGACTCTGACATTTGTCAACCGATATCGAAATTTTTTTTTTTAAGTTAATCCATTAGTGGAATTGAAGAAAATAGACCACCTCTAGGCAGTGGCAGTGGCAGTTTTTTTTTAGGATTCCACCCGCTTATTGTTAACCGATTTCAATAAAACTTTGCAAATAGATGAAGCCCACAAACTTTACGTCGGTTTTTTTTTAAATTGACTGAAATATTGTACGTTATTACAATTTCTGGCGAAAGCTGACAACAGTCCGACAGTCCCTTGCTACGACTATTGCTCTAAACAGCTCTTTTGCAAAATTACATCTATTTAATGCATGTAATTCAAGTTTATGATTTAGTTGACGAATTGATGAATAAACTTTTTATTTATTTAAAAAAAAACTCAATGATTAAGAGAGTATTATAATATTATTCCCGTAACGCCAAATGAACGGAAAATAATCCGCATATGGATATGAGATACTATTTCATGGATATAATTAAGCCATAACAAACTATTATTTTGTAATAGATTATTGAACTAGACAGTATTAGACAATAAACTTTTTATACTTATAAAACAATTTTTTTTTAATGAGCACTTTAACTAGGAACTGACATCCATCAGTCACAGATTGCCACAGATCGTAAATCGTAATTGTTATATGCTTGCGATTTTATTTGAAAGTTTCTTAATAATGTTTTTAATCGACTTCGTTTGCCTTATACCTAGTATTAAATATGAAATAATTAATCAATAGCATGTTTCTCATGACACAAAATTAAAAAATATATACTTTATTTGTCATGGTAATCTCAATTCGGTATTCCCAATTTGATTTGATGAAGTAACAACAGCGGCGCTGCAGTTGTAGACATCCTTGCATTTGTATACACACTTTCATTCACGCATCGCGGCGGCGGCGACGAGTTTTGCCGCAATTCTCTACTAGTGTACAATTTTGGTAGATGACGCGGTATGAGCAGCATTTGCACCGCTGGCGCTATGGTATGACGCCGCAGCAGCAAAACACATGACGCCGCGGCACCATGTGTGATCAGCCTAAGACTTGCGGGCGTTCTTTGCTTCTAACCCTTTGGAAATATTCAGAGGAAGTACAGAGGACGTCATAGGATTAAAAAACTTAAAATTTCTGAAATGTTGGAAGTCCTTAATTAAAAAACACATTTATAAAGCACATTTTATTAACAAACAAAAAATGAACATGTTATTAACTAATATGTAACATCACATTTCATCAATGTAAGTACATGTAATGACAATCACAATAATATTGTATCGTTTCAAGTAGATTAGTTGTGAAAATTAATTTAACTATATGAATAAGTAAAATATATTTTTAATTTGCCCCCTTTATTTCAACATTTATCACTAATTAAGTAAATTTCTGCGTCAATACTCGCTTGTACATTTACAAAACTGATTTGAAAGAATCATCAAAGTGGTCACTTTAAACTAAACTTTTAAATTTTAAAGCGCAACCCGTGATATAGGAGATCACTAGGTGGCCTGTGTAGGAGGTAATCGAAAGAAAACGTTCTATCGAACAATCACACTGTCTGATTTCCGAGAAGCATAAAGTACACACGTAATAATAATAATAATAATAATAATAATAATAATAATAATAATAATAATAAGTTTATTTCTCTCCACAAATTAGGTTACACATTATTTGGTACAGAGATCTTATTAAATAAGATGACAAAATTTGTAGGAGACTGGAATCTAAACTAGATCAGAGATCTGTATCTTAGGCTTCCAGGTAATAGGTAATAGGTTGAGAACCTTTGATTGGTTATAGCCAATGTAAGTAAGGTCAACTATTAATGACGAGTGTTCCCCATTCCGTAATCCCAGAAACAGGGCACAGCGATTGGTCAAATAGGTTGCCACAGACCATGGGCTTTATAAGTATTAGTTTGGTTATAAGGATGAACCTTATAGGTTTCATACAACACACAGCCTAAAGCATTTTTGCAAATGTACAAACAGTATCAACACAATATTGGATCCTTAAAAGCTAATTAATCCGAAGTGACTACATTTTACAATTTTATTTTAGACGCCGCCGTTATCACATTTTGTTTTATACAGAGTTCTATACGGGGTAATAAAAAAAATTAAACTAGAAGAAACTTGTAAGGATTTGACTTTTCCTTTAGAATTTGTTAAAACTGATTAAAAATTAACGTACCATGATTTCTATCTTATTGCTTCAGTATATCACTTGTCAAAAACCCCGTACAGGTTATAATTAAAATTCAATTAATCGCAACTAAAACAGTAACAAAGTGGTCTAACTCGAAATGTAACATTTGAATTTTGATACTGACAAAAGTAATAATGTAATGATATCGTCGTATTGTTAAGATTTTTTGTGAAATGACCACTACTTTTGTTATGATAATTAATGCAAAGTTTAAATGTGAGAATGTTTTTCTTTCTTTCACTAGATGTCAATAATGGCGACGAAAGCAGAAATTCAGTACATAGGTCTATCTTAAAAATACATAGAAGAATTTCGATAGCTCGGCAACTTGACCTGTAGCTCAGTTCGTAGAGCAATGCTACGGTGCAGCACGGTTGTAGGTTCAAATCTCACCGGGTAGAAGGAATTTTTGTACTTGTTAGATCTTTGTACTAATTATCGTTTTTCAAATTAAATAGAATCATAACGTATTTACTAGATCACTCCAGGGAAACGGCACCGGTGTGGTCTATTTTGTCAGTTCGTTCAAAATTTATTTTCGAATTTAGTCACTTTATTACTGCGGCTGCGACATAACATCGTCATTTGAATTGAAATGCACAAAACACTAAGTAGTTTCCGTTACCTTATGAATTACTTGAAGCTCCATACGCGACAGAGAGCAGAATGAAGGCGACGGTGGCTCGGCGGGCGAGCCCTTCTAGAGCTGCACGTTGCAGAGGTTGGAGCCCGAGTGCTGCGGCAGGTCGGCGCGCACCAGCAGCGTGCCGATGGCCACGACGGCCTGGTCGCGCTCGCGCAGCTTGCGCATCTCGTGGCGCAGCTTGTCCAGCACCGCGTAGTTGGGCTCGTTGTGGCGCGCCGCGTCCTGCAGCAGCGTGATCTGCTGCTCCTCCAGCTTCTTCTCCTTGCAGCTCTTGACGGAGCGCGAGCCGTACAGGCGCAGCAGCGAGCCCCACGAGCGCACGTGCGGGTGCAGCGCCTGCCACGAACGAGTTAGCCGTCGCAAAGACCGAACACCCACCGCCCCGCACCATGTAAAGCGAGTACCTGCAAAATGGCCTGCGAGGCTCTCTGCTTGGCCGTCTTCTTGTTCTTGCAGACGACCGTCGCCGTGTGTTTGCCCACTTTCATCGTCAGCTCGATTTTCTGGTACTCTAGCTTTTTCATCTAGAAACCACAACGTGTTGTCATAGCCAAAATGGTACATTGTGTATTAAGGATCAATAGGAACATACTAACGGGGGTCTATTAGAATTACATAACTGGTTCACAACACAACAATTATGGATTCTGCAAATAGCGAGTTTTTTTTATCAACAGATGACCAGCTAGCTGTTCTTCCATAAATAATACAACTCCAACTAAAATGTTGTAAAAAAACAAAGACACACGTATCTACCATGATGGATTGTAAAATAAAATATAAAATGTTCTAATGTTTTATACAGAAAATAATTATGAGAAATTAATAATAAGTATTTAAGTTGTTGCGGAAAATAACTAACCACTCGCGAAACCTACATCGGTTAAATAACGGGTTACTTCCATTCACCATGCATGGAACGGTATTCAGATGCCATTGGAAGGACCCAGGTACCCTCCACTATGTATTAAGCTCAAGAAAACCCACCAGAAAAACTATCAGAGCTAGTTGTTCTTTCCATGCTTCGTTGGACAAGTCAACTAACCACCAGCGCCGTACAGTTCCCGGGCCAGACGGTGTGAAATTGGCTACCGAAGCCGCTGCGAGGACGGGTCACCAGGTCCTCGTAAGCGGTCATGCTAATGGTGACTTCAATGAGAAGATGACCATCAAGAAGGACCGACGTATAGCGACCTGGAACGTCCGTGGTTTACGGAACCCGGGAAAACTGGACATAGTGGAAAAGGAAGCGGAATCACATAATCTAACACTAATAACTGAGACTCGTATGAGAGGACAGGGCCACTTCAAGACGTCGAAAGGTAACATCCTATACTTTTCTGGTCCAACGGATTCCAGCACCAATGCTGTCGCCTTTTGGATCTCACATCGCCTAAATAAATACGTTCAGGGATACAACCTGGTGTTAGCTAGAATAATGATCAAAGGGCTACTTACTGGTCCATGTGTTCTGAACATCATCGTAGTACACGCTCCTACGGCAAACTCCGCGGAAGATGTGCGACAATTTTTACACCACCTTAGAAATTACTCTCTCCAAAATACCGAGTCGAGGAATCACATTAATCCTCGGTGACTGGAATGCAAAGGTGGGAGACACAACAAATGACGACCACATTAGAAGTACAGTCGGTAGATATGATCTTGGAGTCAGTAACGACAGATGTATAAAATTCCTCGAATTCTGCATCCATAACAATGTCACAATATTGAACACATGTTTCCAACATCATCCAAGGCGTCTTTATACTTGGACATCTCCTGGCGATCGTTGTCGTAACCAAATTGACTATGTCGTTGTTAATAGCCGATGGAGGACCAACGTAAAGATATTCCCTGGTGCCGACTGTGGATCTGATCACTGTCTTTTGGTTGCCAGCTTCGCATTGCGTTTTAAAGCAACAAAAGAGGGTCCACCGGCGCGACCCCAAACATTAACACCACCAGAACAGAAATTATTCACGGAGATGTTAAATAACACCATTGTGGAGCAACCGGCACCTACAAAGTTGAATTCTCAGGCGCAATGGGAATGTTTCAAAGAGCAGGTGTGGAAGACAGTAGAGAAGGTTGCGGATCGCGCAAAAACCACCATTGACTAAACAAACATGGATAAAACCTGATACAGGGAGCATGATACAAAGTAGAAAAGATCTAAAAACTCAGAGCTTGTCAAATCAGGAGAGCAGAGACAAATACTCCGAGTTGAGCCGAAAACTTCAATTACACTGCCGTCGCGATAAGACCAATTTTGTGAACCATATCTGCATAGAATAAATAAATAAATAAATAAATAAATAGAAATTGAACAACACGCTCTGAAAGCACAAAGCTCGGACCTGTTTCAAAAATGCGAAATTGCTCTGTAAGCAGTTCAAACCTAAAACCTGGACGATTGAAGATGAGAACGGCAATCGATTCCATGACTTAGATGCGGTCACAAAAAGATGGCGGAAATATTGTAAGGGATTATATAAGAACCCTGACGAATGTAGACCACAAACTTCGACTATGTGGGAGGAGTCCTGAACCTCATATACTTCGCTTAGAGATATAAGCAGCATTATCTGCACTTAAAATTAAAAAAGCTCCGGGACCAGACCAGTTAACAGCGGAGATCTTGGGGCCGCAGGCCCTGCTAGAGTGAATGCTTTGCATAATACCTGCGATGAGGTATGGCGTACTAGTTTTTGGCCTACTGACTGGACTAGATCCATCATTCTACATAAAAAGTGCTCCACCTCCAAATGTGACAACTATACAACCCTGACCCTTATATCACACCCTAGTAATATACTCCTACACATTATTAACAACACGATTCGTCATTTTTTGGATTGGCAGATCCCCCAGGAACGTTGTCAAGGGCAGAGACACGCGCGAACAAATCCTCAAAATTCGCCAACTGATTGAAAAGGCTTATGAATTCAACACACACATCATCCTGTGTTTCATCGACTACAGTAAGCCTTTTGACTGTGTTGTATGGTCGAGTCTCTGGAGGGTGCTCGGGGAGTTGGGAGTGCCTCGACATCTTGTGGCGCTTATTCATTCACTATACTTAAACAGCCAAGGAGTTGTAAGGGTCGACAAGAGGCAGACCTCTCAATCGTTCAGTTTCGAGAAAGGATTAAGGCAGGGATGCATTTTATCTCCAATACTATTTAACACCTATGGAGAATACATAATCAGATGGGCCTGCGAGGATTGGGAAGGTGGAGTCACAATTGGTGGCACCAAAATAACTAATCTCCGATATGCAGACGACACGATGCTGCTCGCTGCCAACGAAGCTGAAATGGTTGGACTCCTGAACAGAGTACAGATGATCAGTTTCGAACTTGGCCTTAAGATCAACCATGCTAAGACCAAATTAATGATAGTAGATCGTTCCAACAGTCTGGAACTGTCGGGCGCCCTCAACCTTGAAACTGTAGAAGACATAATTATACTTGGGCGCGAACATAGACAACACCGGATCGTGCGTAAAGGAGATTCGAAGGTGAATAGGAATGGGTAAAGGTGCCCAACTGCAGAAAGTATGGAAGGACCGTAACATCGCGCGTTAAAATAAGATGAGATTGGTGGGCTCTTTAGTGTTTTCCATTTTTAACTATGGAGCGGAAACGTGGACATTAAAACCGGCAGAACGTGACCGTATTGATGCCTTCGAGATGGGGTGCTAGAGTAAAATGTTGGGAGTCCGTTGGACTGATTTTCGCACCAACGACTCAATTTTGCAGGAACTTAACGTCCAGATCAGGCTGTCCACCTTTTGTCTACGAAAGATACTTGATTTCTTTGGTCACATTGCCAGGAAAGAAAGACACAACCTCGAACAACTAACGGTCACCGGACGGATCGACGGTAAACGTCAGGGGGGTCGCTGTCCCACAAGATCGTCCGACCAAGTTTGTGCGGCTCTCGGCATGGGTCTGCATGATACGCTCCACTATGCCAAAGACCGCCACAGATGGCAGAATGTTGTCATGGCTTGAGTCCGCGGGGGAGTCACAACCCTCAGTAATGAGGTATACGACACGAGGAGGAGGAGGACGGTTTAAGTAGTATGTGGCTGAATTGCAATTAAATAGGAAAATTAAAATGTATAAGGAAGTACGACATGCTATAAATTAAAAAAAACTCCTTACCGACCATGGCTGTAATAGAAAGAAAAATAGCCCGAAGGTTTTATTAGGGATATTATGGTCAAGTTAGCCACCATGCAATCATACTATTTACGAGCAAGTGTGATGAAATAGTAGATTGTACAACAAGTGCATAAAACACGTCATTTTACCCGTGATATACTCTAGTGTATATGCATACTTAAGTCGCTTTGCTTTGGGGTAATGCCGCCGATATCAATAGAATCTTTGTCCTGCAGAAACGTGCAGTTAGGGCAATTTACAATCTGGGCCACAAAGTATCTTTGAGAGATAAGTTTAAGGAAATTAACATTCTTACACTAGACTCACAGTACATTTATGAAAATGTAATTTATGTTAAAAGGAATAGTAATTTATTTATGAAAAATAGTGACAGACATAACATTAATACGAGGAATAGAAATAAACTAGCTTTTCTTGATAGTAGTCTTCACAAAGTCAAAAAATCATTTAAGGGGCAATGTATACGCTTCTATAACAAGATTCCGGTTGATATACAAAATTTGCCTTTCACGAGGTTTAAAAAACTACATATAGTGAAACAAAAACTTTATACTAAAGGTTATTATACAACTTCTGCGTACTTGGATGACAAAAATCCGTGGTAGTAACCCGTTTAGCTCATGGAGGTAGTCTCGATCTCTGATGTTTCAAATAAAAAAATAAATATTGTAAATGTTATTTACAAAGAGCAACCCCTAGAGTTTCTTGCTCATTCTTCTCAGGGGAATCTCCCTTACGAATGAGCGGTAGAGTTTAACTATTGTGACGATTTCAAGTGTAATAATGCTTACCTATGAAATAAAGATTATTTTGAATTTGAATTTGAATTTGTCGTCTAGTATATATGGATACTTAAGTCGGGAGTAAAATGAGTTTTATGAACGAGTTATACACGCTGCTTTTCACTTCGATTGCGAGGAAATTAAACAGCAATATTACAAATAAACGATAACACAACTATTGCCAAGAAAAAACAAGAACTTTCCGCCAATGTACTTTTTTTTTCTACACGTGACTCAGGTCGGACTACATAATGCTCAGTTATATTTTACATGCTTTTATTTTTTATGCATTTCTATTTCTTATACCTTATTAGAATTACTATTGCCTACTTTTTAAATTTTGTAATATAACACGGATTAAAAAACAAAAATAAAACTTTATTTTATAAAGTTCTAGTGTGCGTGGCTGTTGGCGCAGGCATCATTGCCTCGGTCTTAAACGACGATTTTATTTTATGCATTAGAGCATAAAATCCTATTTTATGCAGCCTACACCCAGCATAAATACGAACTTTAAGAGCATGAGAAGTGAAAAAATTATTTAAAACTCTAATCGCTTAGCGTAATGTTGGCATAAGATTGCCAAATAATGTAGTATAACGTACGACAGCAGGCAGTGACCGTAGCGTCACTTTACACAACAGTACTGCTCAGTATCGAACGAATTACCTCCGTGTGGATGTGCCTGTCGGTGGCGCCGAAGTTCCGCAGAAGACACGTCCGGAGGATGGCGTGCGGCGAGGGCTCGCACGCGGCTGCGCAGAACTCCGTGATGCGCGGGTCCTCGATGCCCACGTAGTCGAAGAACTACAACACACGGTGACACTACGGCTTTACCGTAGCATTGGTTTGTTTGAAGTCGCTCGTAGCAGAAGGCTACGACGCAATGTGTGCTCAAAGGGAGTCTAGACAAATCAATGCAATGCTAGTTAGTCTCTCGCCCGGAGTTATAATATTGTTTCAATTATAACAGTGTCGTTGTAATAGAGTAGTGTCATAATATTGCGACGCTGCAGTTCATGCGGCGTATTTGTGGAAGCGCTACCAACTTCCTGGCCATTGTTATTGGTGGTGTGGCCTAATATCCTTATATAAAAACAGTCAAAATATCCTTAATGAAAAATTAGGATAAAGTTCTTAGGTTTTCGCGATTGTTACACATAGCAAATGAAACGTCACGGTTGACGGTTGACCATGAGACCTGGTAAAGGACCCGAAACTTCGGTTTGTTTGAAAAAACAAATATACGCAATTTAAATCCGGAAAAATAGTTTCATTTCCTAATTAGGATAAAGATTTTTTTTCTGAATATTTCCGTTTTTAAAGACATCCTATATATTGTAAAATGATGAGAATTTGTAAGTGCATAGGAAGCCCATTCTACTGTTGAAGAATGGGCTTCCTATGCACTTACAAATTCATAATTTCATATGACGGTCGAATGACAGAGCTCTTCACTAGTTACTCCATTCTCAAGTCTGATGGTAAGCTACACGCCCGTCCATAATAGTTGCAGTACCACTCAGAGCTTTAAATCGCTAAGATCTGCGGGGCACTGCAGCATAAGTTGCCACGTTCCATATGCGTGTAATTTCACCAGCACCCATATCCATCGAAACCAGAACACAGTCTGCATGACATACTGTACCAATGAATGGCGCCTCAAACTATGCCAGTTACTTTTTAAAAGCAGTGAACGCCATCTTTTGAGCACGGCGAGAACCAAATATAAGCAAACAACTGAAGTTAAAAACTAACTAACTAACATGCATGTGTAAATGAGTCGGTATACGCTTCTAAGCCGCTTATGCAATGAAGTCGCCAAAACGAGCATTTGATCAATTCCAGATTAACTGTGGCTAAGTTTACTATACAAAACGGCAATCTTTCTTATGCACTCTGTGCTGTATTCCTCTGTAGATATAAAGATTATACTCACGCTAAAGTCCGGTTCGTTATTAGCATTGGCCCCCGGCTGGGTGTCCAACTCGTGCCTCATTTCCGGTATCAGAATGTGTATGGACGCCCTTGCCGCCGCAGACTTCGCCGCCCGTTTGCTTGACCCGTGCCCGACACCGTATTGCATGCCGCCGATGTACACGGTCGCTTGGTACGGAGTGGACGCGTTCTCTGTTGCGGTGGATACAAACATGTTACTACGTTGAATGCGGACATGTGCGGTGGTGTGAAAATTTAATTGTAATATTATAGATAAAACTGATAATCTTAGTTCTTAATTGCTTTATCTGTTCTGCTAAACAGGACCGCCTATCACACCACAAGTTTTAGCCACAACTAATTCCTCTAAGAATGTTTCATGCCCATACTGTTCTTTTTTTAAAAAAATATATTATATGAATATGTCTCACTGCAGGGCACGGATGACCTCTCAGGAGATGGTTTACGCCTTTGAATGACAAATGACATTTCACTAGAATAGAAATTTACTCGAAGTCTTTTGCAAATCATTAGAAGTAAGATAATATACTTTTTATGCAAGTTATAGGGTCCATATTTAAAAGTAAAGAAATTACTTTTTCTTTCGATCATTGAACCTATAATATCGACGGTGCAAATTTAAAATGTAATAAGAAAGATTTTGTCATAAGGAAAATGTTCCTTAATACAAAATGTCGCTTACGACATTTCAAAATTCGATACATCGACGAAATTATTACATTATGTCAACAGTGGAAATTTGAAATGTCCTAAGAGACATTTTGTCGTAAGGTTATTTTCCCTTACGACATTTCAAATTTCCACCATTGATATACGTAAAAAAAGGATATATTTAAGTCAAATAGCAAAAAATGGTATTTTGACTTAAACAACTGACTTGGGAGTTATCAATTTGAATTTTATTGAATTCTGTCATAGATTTTGCACATCAAAGGTTAACATTTTTTAGTGCCTCATTATTCAAACATAATACTTATTATTGCAGATACATCGACTCGAAATTTCGCAGAACGTGCCTTATATTATATCGTACCTTATTATATTAAGGCCATAACATACCGAGCTGTTTGAACTCGTAGACGGGCTGCTTCTGCAGCGCGCGGCGCACGTACTCGTGGAAGACGGAGAGGTAGCTGCGTCCGTTCATGTTCATCACCCAGTCGCGCTTGTTCGCCTTGCCACCTGGACAATTCACTTTCTACAACTTAGGTACATAAAACTACTATTAACTACACATTGTAAATCATAGCTAATAAGAATTCAATCGCGAATCCTACCATACAGCTTAGGACAGTGACTGTCTCCATGTAGTAGCTGACAACAGTCATAAATTACATTACTAAAGCCGTCACTATCATAAGTTCTACTTAATGCCGGCTCTAAATGCTTGACATTTGTCGCAAGCCCCAAACGTTTGGCAAATCAAATGAGACAAACGTCGGCATCCACACGGTTGCAAGCGCACTAAGTATGCTCCGGAAAAAAAACTAGCATGGTGGACATCGAATTTGTGTCTGCTGTTACGTTCAGCGTGACCTATTTTTATCACATTTTTATTACCGTCTGTCGACAGTTCTCGAACAATACTAACTAGCACAAATGTTTGGGCGCCCTTGCCTTGGCATATTTGAGGATTATATCAATGCTAGGGCCTCGTATAATGGTGTCTGCATCAATGGACCACTTGTACAAAAGCCGAACGCGTTGGATAGAGATATGTCATGGCGTTGGATACGAACATGCTTGTAAATAAAGTTGTGGTAGTTCATGCCATATAAAGAGAAAAAAAATGTATTTTTACTTCTCAAGGCCGCGCGCATTTATTCCGCAAAAAGTACGTACCTCCGTTCTCCTGCCCGGCTGTGGACTGCGCGGGTATGGTAATCAACTTCGTCCCCTCTGGTAACGTCGGATACTGCAACGTCTTTCTCGCTTTGGTGTACTTACGCCTGTCCGCCCAACGTCTAAAAAATAACAACAATAAATAAAGCAATGTTCCGGAAAGCAAAAACATACACAGTTTAACCAGCCACAATTTACTTTAAAAAGTACAGGCGACAGCACATGTCCCTTCACAAATAAGGAGTTGTTGACAATGATAATTTCCAGATACGTCGTTGAATCTGTTTAACATTTGAAGGGAAGTATGTTTCAATACAAAACTCATAAATATTGTTCGCACGCCTATAGTTACCCCTACGCTGTATGGAAGCGGTGAGTGGAAATACAAACCCGTTCATAAATTCAAACAACAGTAAACTGAAATTATTGTTTCATAGAATATCATGAGATTTTTACTACCATGATGTTCAAATACGTTTTGTTAAAATACTCCAAGAGTTTGTTGTTATTATTGATAAAAAGATCAAACAAACACAAAGAAAATTCCTTTAGTCTGACTGGATACGAACCAGCGTCTATTTGCCAAACCGGGGTTACCACTTTTACCAACTAGGCTACAGATTTTACGACATTACCAAAACATTACGAATATCTATGTGCTTGTTACAGACTCTGTATTAGACTTTTTTTCCGTAACGCTACCTGCGAGAAACTTACGAAAAATTCTTCTCACAGCCAAGTGTCTTTACAGCTTATAATATTATAATATAAAATTTACAGCTATCAGTGGCTGACAAGAGATATCGCTACAAAAATTACAATATTTATTTAATACAATATAATAACATATGATCGGAAAAAGGTGTTCCACATATGCATACACATAGCCACAAGGAGCGACATAGAGTTCTTAAAACCACCAGATAAAAATTAATTCCCTTTTCGAATTCTGAAATTCCGGAAATGGTTTTTGCATCGTAGGACAAACTACTGTCATAGGAAGTTGAAGTTGGATTTTAAAGTAATTCTAAAAAATGCAGTAGATAACTGACTGCCTTGTTGCCGTTCCGTCGATGTGATTGTCAATATGCGGGGCGTGGTGCGGTATGTAAAGCTAGAGAGGGGCGGAGAGTGACCATACTCGTAACTTTTTATACTCTCTTTGGTAAAAGGTCAGCCTTGTATGACCATGATCATAAGGTTGTTACTACCATGATATTCATATTTTTTTGTGAAAACATTCAACTACAGGTGGCGTTACGGCAGAAAAGCCGTTAAAACCTAAAAACCTAATATCTGCAACAAGCACATAGAGAAATTCAAGTAAGGTCTGCTAACTCATTCTGTAGCGCAATTGGGAAAGCGATAGCCTCGGTATGGCGAAAAAGTCGGGATCGAAGGAATTTTTCTTAAAAACGTTTATTAAAATGTTAGAATTAATTCTGCACACCAAATACTATAATTTCGCACCCTCAATAATAAAGCAACACAATTCGAAATTTATTTTTGGGGACCAGACAAATTAGATTGAGAACATTCGTTGCAATCATCGACTTACAAATAAATGGACGACGGGTCTAATACAAAAACCACGAAAAAAATGACCCAAGTCAACCTATTTAAACGTAGTGACATGTAAAGGAATATGAAAAAGCTAAAACGTTGAATTTAAATTGTAATGTCTAATTTTGCTTGCTTCGCTGTCAGTCGAACAAACGAAGACTAGAGCGTGAATGACGCTCTGTATACGATTTTAACGCCCTATAAGTTCGGATACTTTTTAGCGCGGACCCGACGTCCATATAATTGTAAGTCAATGGTTGCAATAGACAAATATAACGAAATTTTATTTCATATTTTTTGACAGTCTCAAAAACGTTACATTTTCATTTTCGTCACTTTATTATTCTGGATGTGATGTGATTTGATTGATTGAAATTGAAAATACTCACTTAAAATGCATAATATTGACAGTCTTGAATTGAAAGAGTTTTTTGCAATAATCATTAACTTGTTCATGCGTCAAATGCTGTGTCTTCCAACTTGTACTGACGGTCTCCACCCTAGGTGGTGGCATAACAATTCCGCCGGGTAAAATCACAGGTTGTCTATTTAGAGGTACTTCTTCAACAATATTCAGTTCGGTAATTTCTACTTCATTTTCAGTTGCTAATTCACTATTTTGATTTGTTTCTCCACTATTTTGATTTGTTTCTCCGCTATTTTGATTTATTTCTCCCCTATTCTGATTCATTTCTCCACTACTCTGACTACATTCGCCATTTTCCATTGGTTGATCAACATTGACTAAATTTACACCTTGGCTATTTGGTAGATTACTTCGTTCCATGTTGTCACTAGTTTGTATATCACTTTGATTTTCAATTGTTTTTGTTTTTTCTATTGCACTTGTTTCCCGACTTTCGCTCATTTCTTGATCATTTGATATGTTTGTTTCTTTAATAACACTAGATTCGTTTTTCGAATTTCCATTAGGTACGCCATGTTTGAATGGACATTTTATGACTTGATTTTCACTAGATACGTCAGTCTTTTTGTTGTTTTCATTTTGTGTCTGTGGATGGAATTGTCTCCAAGTGCCATTTCTAATCTGCTCCTCGATCTGTTTGTCAATTTCTTTTTGTTTCGCTTCCTCTTCTAACGCTTTTCTGTAAGCTAGGCATGGGATTGCGCTTATCGGTATGTCGTGTCTCTGAAAAAGATATGATTTCGTTCTACTCAGAAATTCATATTTAGCTCAGTATCGCAGCACAGTAACCGCGTGAGGCGTAAAACAGCTCGGCGGCATTGATCTTCTGTCTTTGCGACTCACAGGTAAACTCAGTTTCTATTGCTACATATATGTCAAACTATTGATAGTATTGAAGTTTAAATTCCTGTTTCTACCACTTGTCGTTAAACTTTTCATTGTATTGCCGTTTCAACAAACGTTTCTACTACTCATTGTCAAACTTTTGACAGTGTTGCCATTAAAACCACTGTATCTACTAATTATCTGTGAAATAAATGAAAAAATATGTTGCACGTCGAGACCTTGTTTAATTAGTCACAATAGTCTTAATACGTTAAATAAGAGCCTACAGCCCGTCAATCGTGTCAGATCAGTGACGTATAAGTGTCACGTCCGTGTGCCACACAAATACTTTCAGAAACTCTTAGTGCAATACATTAGCTCTAAGTGTATTTAAGGTAAACCGTTTATATTAGTAAGAACTAAAAGTATATCGTGTAAACTCGAAATGTAACCTCGGGATATTAAAATCATAGTACGTACTTCGTAATGTAAGTATTCTTAACATACAACTTATATCTTAACGTAAATAAAACATTTGGTTATTTCTATTTGAAACTTGTTTTAGTTGTGTGTAAGGCGCTCTTCTTTTACCTTGATTGTAAATTTAAGTCGCTGCACCGGTGCAAACCAGATCTCACGCTCTACAAGTCTCATGCTCACCCAATCTGACTGGAGCTGACCATTACAGCAAGCCACTTTTTAGCTGGTAATTAGTAGAAATGCTTGTTCAAAAGGCAATACTGAGCTGGAGATGGTTTACACGTTACGCGGTGAAATACTGTTCAAGTTGATCTCACAAAACAAATACTCGAGTCCTAAATATAAAGACTTTTTATGATTCGAATCTTCATGATTTTATTGATTCCTGTTATAGACTGCAAACTGTTCATAAGGGCACCGACTTATCTTAGCAGCTCGCAGGTGTTAAACGACAGCCGAAAATTTTACTGTAAAAATTTCAATTCAAAAGTCGATTAATTACTTATCGATTGGTAAATTCAAAATTTTGCGGTTGTCTGGCATTTGTCTTTTTTCTGACTCTATTTATTTTTTACTATATTTACTGACGATAGCTAAAAACAATTCAACAACGATAAGAAAATACAGTAGCTCAACAATAAACAAGGATATTATTATTCATTATAAATTTTGATGACATAAAAATTACAAATATATACGCAATGTCATATTATATGACTAAACATTGTGTTTAGTTGGAGGTTTACAATAAATAGGTATAAATATAGTAGATTCATATACATATAAGAATCCATTGTGCGTTTCTTTGAATCCACTATAGCCTGTCTTTTTTGAAGACGGAGCAAAATTATATTTGCAGGGTTACCAGTTTTCATAAAATTTTAAATAGTCATGTAGTTGTTGTCAACAGTTTTATCGATAGATTGTGAAAGGTAAAATTTTTCCATAAAATGAATGAATTATGAATTGAATTGAATGAATTATTATAAACAATGTTACCCTGGTATTCCCCTTCCCGAGGAAATACGGCTTGGAGAGCGTGCACACGCGCGTGGTGCGGTGCATGTAGACGGGCATGCCGCTGTAATGCCGCACTATCATCCAGTCCAGGGGGAGCACCTCGAAGTGGTTGATGCCTTTCTCTATAGGAAGAAAGAATGCGGTCAACGTACTGTATAAAATCTAAAGGATGGCGAATATTGCAAGATCACGTCAACATACTCCAAATTCAAACTAGGTACTTCAGTGTCGAAAAATTTGTCGTAGTTCATAAATCCCAACCAGTTTTAAATTTCCTAAGTTAACTGAATAAAAAAATGGTACCTATGTCCTTCTTCAGAGATTTTTTAAGTTGCTAAGAAATTTCGCAAAATGAAAAAATCTAAATCGCAATTCATTTGTTTTCTCAAGCAAAACGCGCATTCGATTCTAAAAAAAAATAGTTTCGCGAATACTAGAGCACCTTTAGAAAAAATTCCTTTGATCCGTCTGGACTCGAACCATCGTCTTCTAACAAACCGTGCCAGACGCTATGCCAATTAAGCCACGGAACGAACCAACGGACCTTATGAATTTTTCTGTATGTTTGTTGCAGATCTTTGTTTTTCGTTTTTAACGACTTTTTTGTCGTAGCGCCCTTTAGAGCTACCAGCAGCTGACTGGAAATGTCGCTTTAATAATTGAAAAGAAAAAGACGAAGAACAAGTATGGCGTACAGTGAACAAATAAAAAAGAAGATCAAAGTGAACAGCTAAAGAGAGGTTAAAGAACTGAACTGTAAGAAGTGAACTGGAGGCTAAACCGACAAGAGTCTGGCTCTTAAATAAGATGATGATAAATGTTAGGTTGATTCACCACCATTATATTCAATTATTTTTTCTGAAACTACTCCACTAGCTTGTTATAATTATTAATACAAATATCGAACATTTAGAAAAAATTCCTTCGAAGAATTCAGATACATTACCAGGGACTTAGCAATGCATCGCTAAAATTTCAATGCTGTGAAATCAAGACGAATGAACGATATTTCATAATTACTCGCAACATTGGTCGCAAACCATAATATTATTGTGTCGATGCCGCCAATGGAACAATGTCACAGAGTGACATGATGGGACCTTGTTCATCCCAAATTCAATAATCATGCATTTGTAATAACAGCATGCAAACGTTCCAATCAATTCGACTATTCGAATTGCGTGTTCATTCACATTTGCACGATAATGTAACGGTTACTTAACGTACCTTCCAGTACCACCTTGTGCCTCGTCACGTAAGGCTTCTCCTTCGGCTTTGGCGCGGCCTTCAGCTCCTCGGGAAGATCTTCGTCGAGCATTTTCTCAATCTCTTCTTCGGGTACACCTTCAGATTTATCTAGAATATGGTGTTTACTCTAGTATAAATAGATTTTATGATGACTTGCTTGTGACAATTATATAGGCACAATTATAAGGACATTGATCGCAAACAACAACACTGACAGCATTTGTGTGCAGTTCCATTATTAGGCAAAAATTATAAGTATTCTTCAAGTAGCGAATTACATTTAATTATATTAAAATGTCACAATTGCTGAAATTCTGGCGCGTTATTTCCACGCCTTCTCTTTCTTTATCAGCTGTCAAATATTCGTGTATGTATATGCAAGTGAGAGTAGCATTAAAATATAAAAAAGCTGTATGGTAAGTAAACAAGCAGGCATTTTTAACATTTCCTTGTCCTACCAGACTATAAAGGAGCTTTTCCACCGGCGAGGTGAGACGAGACGGGGATTGAAATTTGTATGACAAAATTTCAATTCTCTCCTAACGCATCTACGGTAATTAACGAGAAGATACAAGATAATTAAAATTTTGTTGGCGTAATATTGAACCGTATTACTACCAGTATAGAGTTAATTTAACTCTGCGACGACGGAAGCACGATTCACACGATGCGTATTTAATATCAATTACACGTTGTCGAGTACGTACTCGACAACGTGTGTTGTCGAGTACGTACTCGACAACGTGTTTTAAATTTATCAAACAAGGAATTTACTCTATTGGTATTTTAATATTTTTATTTTACTATCCACAACCGATCGCGAGCTCGCGATGACCATCAAGAGTCGATACTGCCTCAGCTCGAGTTTTGCTTGGGTCGAGCGGCAAGAATATTGGTTTTATTTCAGAATCTATTTCTTTACAAAGGAAATTAAAGCCATTTTAAAAATGTATATATGTATAATACCGGTTTCCGGAACGAATAAAAAAAAACTATAAATTGCCAAAAATTAATGTATTGTTTCTCAAAATATTCTCCGTTAGCGTTAATGCACTTTTCATACGAATGAACCAATTTTGAAAACATTTATGCCACTCCTCCGTGACAATCTCTGAAACATATTTTTCATACTCTTCGACAGCCTCTTCAGGTAATGAAAATCGTTGACTAGGTAACTGGTTCTTAATTTTTGGAAATAAATAAAAGTCACAACGTGCCAGGTCGGGACTGTACGCGGGATGGCTCATAAGGTCAACGTTGTTCACCTTCAAAAATCATTTGTCTGTCTGGCCGTGTGAGAACTGGCATTATCGTGGTGCAAGATCATACGGCGTTTATGCTTATTTTTGCGGAGTTTGTCAATAACTTCCGGCAAACAAATGGTCGTGGACAATTCATTATTCACGATACAACGATTCTCCAAAGCAACAAGAGCCACTAAATGATTATCACTAGTATCAGGTTTCTTACCACGGTATGACTTCTTTTTATTTTCCCGATATTTCGGAACGGTTGCACGTTCCATGGTCACGGGTTGACTGGACGGCGGCAGATGACAGCTTTAAGAGCAGACATATCTGTCTACCCTCTTGCACTGTCGACGACTGCCTTCATCGCGATTTGTTATAGCGTTACCATTGTCACTCACTTTTTTCACACAAGCCACACTCACTGTATCCACACGCGAAACTGAACTCGAGGTGTTTTTGTTTTTATTACTGCACGCACTAAGGACCGGATTCCATGCACTGGACAGTTTAAAACCATCATCACGGTTAAATGTTTTGTACTTCGTGATCTCGATGGCTTCTCGTACCAACCGTGGTATGTAGTGACGTTCTGTCGAGAGTACCTGGGGGCTATGTGACTCGATCCAGTGGTTAGTGTCAGTCTGTGTGAGATGTTGTGCTATAGCTGTTATTATGCCCCACACCAAATTTGACGCCCCTTCGTTGAATCTGGTAAGCATGGCATTGCAGCAAGTGACGCGATCCGTTTTTTGAGCCTCAGTCAAATTGTGTGGGATCCACTGAGAGCATTGCTTTTTCACACCCAAATGTTTGTGTAATATTGGTTGTATTTGGCTCATGCCTGTGCCTAAAGTATGTCACAAGCCTGTCTGTTTTGATCATGCGGCGCACAGCATCGATGCTTTTGTTGTTCACAGCAGCGGACGGGCGACCATCACGAAATTTGTCACTGAGATTCACACGACCGCGTTTGAATTCTGCAAAGCAGCTATAAATAGTCGTCTTGCATGGTGCTTCATCGCCAAAAGCTGTTTGAAGTCGAGGCAAGCTTCGCTGAGCTCTTAAACTACACTTAAAATCGTAGAAAATCATACTACGAAAATTTTTACGAGTTAAATCCATGGTGATGTAGACAAACAATTTCTAAAACGACGCCACAATGTAAAAACAACTGACAGTCGCATGAAACAAACTATTCTACAGCCAAGAGTTCCATTTTCAAATGTTGTAATTACTTTTTAAATATTGTTTATGTAAGTGGCCAGTTCCGGAAACTTATAGTGCGCCCTATAATACGAGTTCTGTTTGGTTCAGTTGATATTAAAAAAAATCATGGGTGTATGTAAAGTACCTATTGAACATAGGTACATGGTTTTTTTGTAAAATTTAGAGGTAAGTTTGTGTTTTTTTTTCTATCGTGTATATTTTTAGGAATTTTGTAGTAATAAGTGCCTGCCTCATTCAACGCTTTCACTGTTATGGGGAATCATTGCAATTTCACTCAATTTCACATCATGGCAATTTTTGGTGGAAATATGGCGAGACTTAAATTCCGTCTCGCCTCGCCTGTGGAAAAGCACCATAAGACAAGACAAAAATTACTGCTAACAGAGTTGACGGGTCCGGCGGAGTAACAGACTCACGCCAAATAAACTACCTAAGGAATCAATTGACTAGTGCAGTGCCAATGTATGAAAGTAAAAAACTTGTCAACAATTTAATAAAAAACTAAATGAGTACTTCCAATCAATAACAAACAAGTTTTTAATTAGACTGTCTACACTAGTCTAGCCTATGTGACACAAAACACCATTATCGGACATTTAAGAGCAGATATTACCTCAGCCCAAATTCAAATTTCTTGCAAACTAAATACTAATACATTTTGCTTGGGACATTGGCTTTTAATTTTTTTACAAACTACATTAAAGCCTTTCTATTTAGTTCAGTTGATATAGAATCATTGTTGTATGTAAAGTACTCATTGTACACTGCGGTTTTCTTATAAATTTTCCAGGTGAGTTTGTTTTCATTTTCTATTGTGAAAATTTTTAGGAACCGTATACTAATCCGTGTATACCCTCAATTTTCTATATAATTTTTCCAAAGCAATTGATCCAACACTTTCGCTGTTATGCAGAATCAACCAAAAGCTACTTGAGGTTGTATCGACTCTAAAAAATATAAAATAAAACTACCATCAGAACTCTCAGATTCCTCATCATTGCTGTCTTCATCATTCGACTTCACTTCATCCAGAACTTGAAACTCTCGTAACTTTTCCAACTCCTCCTGGCTTATAAAATTATCATATTTTTCTTCAAACTCAAACTTTGCATTGTCCATTTCCATTATTTGAGATTCACAGTCCTTTGTAAATTCCTCAACAGCCACTGTTTCTTGCGAGTTTTCGGACAATTTCCGCTTCTTACTAGCTGGCTCTTTGGGCTCCTCCATGGCTAAACCTAGCACCTAAAAATTGTATTAGCTTAATGTCGTAATGATGATGTGATTGGATACAAACAAATGATTAGAATCTTTCAGGATTGTTATCTCAGAATTTTATAGCAGTGGCAAGAGTAGAAAGGACCGTAAAAGAAGTAAAGACCCTAAAATCACTGTGCTATAGTCTTATTTGGTGCACAAGAAGAATCAATAAAAAAATTAAAGGCCCTGTGAAGCAAATGCCCCCAAAAAGTATGTTACATGTGCAGTGGTAATCAGTTAGAATTGATATGCATGTACCTACCAAAGACATACCAAGACATTGTGACATGTAAGAGGCTAATCTTGGTCATGGTCACGATTGTACAAATGCAAGCACATAACGTAGGTGTTTTGTAAAAAAAGGCGTAAGCGGCATTTCGAAAAATTTTTGAGGGTAGCATGTTTTAGGTTTTCACAAGTGTTTTAAAATACATCCTACGTAAAATTCAAACTATTAAATAAAAATTTTCAATATGTCGCTAACGCTCTTGCTACAAAACACCGACGATATTAAACTCTAAGATGGAATCCTAGTCCAAAAATGTAAACAAACAACTGTCACTGTCAGAATGACATCCCATAGATCATAAACCTTTTTTCAGGTTCGTTTATAAACAGGTTGTACACTTCGCATTCTGAGTAATAATATAATTATAGCCTTAATTAAATAGCAAATAACCTTTTCAGTTAAACAACATTTAAAGTTTTCAGAATTAGTTTGAGCCATAAAATATTTGTAATTAAAAAAATATGAGAAAATGAGAAACATCTCAAAATATTCTTTATAATTAGGATCATAAACTCAATATAGTAGTTTTCAATACAGTGGCTATAGTAGGATTTCATCTCAGAGTTTAGTTTTACCAATACTAAAGAAAATTAGCACACATAATGTATACACAGATAATATGTCATTAATCATTATAGTGGTTAAGAGGGCAAATGTAAGGCCTAAAATATCAGTATTGATCATTTATACCGTACTGACTACAGATTAGAATATTTAAATGCACCAACACCTATTGGTACCGCTTCCTCCATTTTACTCCATATATATCTAATAATGAAAATAAATATATTTTAAGAAAGATAAGTCACAAAAAAGTAACGGAGATGAATTTTTCATAAAAAGTTTGTTACCACACTGTTACGTATGTCTTCCATATAACCATTAACCATTAATCTTAGAAATATTGTGAAAATGTTTTCCTACAAGTAATGTAAATTTTAAGTACAATTAATTATTAAGTCCCTGACTGTACAATAAATAAATTAATTTTTAAAGTTACATGTGTGTTGGAACTTAGTACGTAAGTAGTATATTTTTTTTATATTAAACAGATACCATACATTTTTAATCATAAAATTTCAAGTGACATAATTAAGGCAGTAAAGCCATAGTGGTGTAACAACCATGAAGCAAGACCAAGGAAGCTAGTATCATGCTTGCAGATCCCTAACCCAACAAATCTAGTCTCTCCTCACTTACTATTCGCCAGTTTCAATTTATAATCTGGGCCCCAGGGTGTGTTCAAGAGATAAGTTATTGACATTCTCACACTAACACCACAGTACATTTGTCAAAATGTTATTTAAGTTGAGAAAAAAGGTCTTTTCTTGAAAAATATTGACAAACATTATAACATTAATATGAGGAATACAAATAAACTAGCTGTTCCTGTCAGTCATCGAAATACGCTTATATAATAATAGTCCAGTTGATATCCAAAATTTGCCATTTACGAGGTTTAAAACTATAGTTAAACAAAAACTTTATACTAAAGGTTATTATACACCTTCTGTGTACTTGGATCACAAAAATCCATGGTACTGACCCGTTTAACTTGCTAGTCTCGATCTAAGATGTTTCAATAAATATTGTAATGATAAATGTATCCAAATGTATATTTAGAAAGAGCAACCCCTAGAGTTTCTTACTCATTATTCTCAAGGGAATCTGCCTTACGAATGAGCAGTAGAGTTTAATCAGTATGACGATTTCAAGCGTAATTTGCTTACCTATGAAATAAAGATTATTTGACTTGACTTCTTGGAAACATTTGCCTAAAGATAGTTAGTAAATAGGTATAGAAGGTATGCAAGCAATAATTCTGTGGGCCTTTGCAACCATAATAAATTGTTTCACCACTATAAGTCATAATAAAAACCTAAACAGTTTACCTTTAAAATTATTCACAATAGTAATAAGCTGTTCAAAGACAGTCCACAAATAGCGATGGCATGAAAAATCCAATGCGTAACAACAGTTGGATTTTTCCATCACTTGCTGCAGACTTTCGTCACATCGCAGCCGCCTTATAAGCTGAGCAATGGAGAAGGTGAACAGAATCACGAAAAACTAACCTCTGGATTGTAACACAGAGGAGTCTGTCGCAAAACTGTATAATACCACACGAACACCACGACACGGCTCTTCGGCAGTCCCGAAACCACAAATATATGTTGTCGCTGCAAAGAATTTAGAAAAAAGAAACAAAACGAGCACAGCAGTCATACTTTCGTCTTCCATGCAAATTTCTTACACAACTTTCTTAACTCAAGTTCTAAATGTAAATATCATATAACGCTGGTTATGAGTCGTCAGCTACTTTTACATAGTAAATGGACATTAATTTCTAACTAATGACGCGTTGATATGTGAAATGTGACCGCTTTGCCCGTTACCAAGAAACACGATAAGACATACCTGCGTGAGTGACCTAAAAGCGTTGTTTGATCAATTAATTAATTAATTATTGCTTATCTCTGTTGATATCAGAAACATAGCATGACAATATTACGTTTCCATTTATTTAAAAGCTATTTAATATGATGATTACGAGAAAAATAAGATAAATTTAACACCACACCACGCTCGATTAATCCTCAAGGAAACCACAGACTAAAAATAAATAAGTCAAATACATCAAGCTATCATCTAAAGTGTTACCACGATTACAAAAGTCATACGATTTTCACTTCGCAACCTCGGCGACAGTTTCAGAAACGTTTATTTCGCTACCCGATTTCAAGAGACGCTGTTTATTTTAGGATTGGAGGGAGTGAGATAAAAGTTAGGGTCCCCAAATATGGCGACTTATTTCTAAGTTAATAAGACCTGTGCCCCAATAAGTGCCACACCCATTCTTAACGCAGGGCCCTTGAAATCGATTAGCGTAATAAGCTTTTAAGTGGGTAAGCGGCAGCGACGGCGTTACTTTGCGACACCGCATTGCTCGTATTAACATTGCTAGGTGCGTTGAAATCATAGAATTGCGACAACACGTGTGGCAGTACCCGTGTGTGAACAGTAACAAGCATACCCAGTCAGGTTTCGAAACATACAGCGTTAGCGAATATCGGGTAGGCCCTTACTATTATAACAAGTCACTATTCTATGAAATTATACTTGTGTAGGCTCGATCGAAAATAATGCAAATTTTGCGTTGTTTCTTCCTGTCCCTGTACTTCTCGAAGCCAACGGATGCGTTTTTGGTCGATAATAGGCTTGTAATCTATGGTTGTACTAACTCTTTTGAAAGGTCCACAAATTTAAATATAAAACTTGTAGAATTTTGCCCTATAGTTGCAAGACAGCAACTATAGGGAAAAACTTATCCTAAAACTTATGGAGAGGAAACCTCTTGTACTATTCTCCTTTAAAAGAATCACAGACTCATAAAATGTATAAGGACACGGCAGGATTTAAAAAAAATGGTACCTATATTAATTCTCATGTTTACTTTATTCCACTTCAAAAATGTAAATCTACCTTTTCGATTGGGATTAAGCAATAATTGATATTACAATACAAAGATAACATAATAATATAAATATCTTACATATCTACACAATATCACAGCAATTTGCAGCAAATTCACGTATCCGTTTATTCGATTATAATCATTAAAAAGACAGTATTTATTATTTCGGTTCAAAAGAGATACAAAAAAACAAAAAGAACTACTGAATATTTTTCTCACATTCAAGTAATTTATATAAACGGTACGCAGTTAGTACAAGTTAATGTTTAACCCCGCAATAGTCGCACTTAATGATTCAGTTGTTAGTACTTCTTAAAACTTAGTCAACATTTCAAAATCTAACTTTTCAGACTTTAGGCCGTTATCTGCCGAAACGGAGTAAAGAAATGCTGTATGTTAACAACCAATAGCATACCGATATTTTCATCAAACGACATGGAAATGACGAATCATAATAACGAATTACTATTGGTTAATAAAATCTGTGTTCCGCGGTGGCAGTTAAAGTACTTTACATGAGGTGATTATCAGTTAATAGGAGCCTAAATGTGTATAATACATATAGTAACCAATAGTAATCAGTTCAACACTATAATATATTTTTAAAAATTCTTAATAATTAAGGTTAGCGTCCATTGAACGACCTCATTGTCCTCAAGACCAGCACTGGAAAAACTTACATAATCGAAAATATCTTTTTCAATACTCTATTCTGAGGGTTGCCAGTGCTGGACTGATGCCGAGCGCTTGTATGGGGCCTTTAATAATCTAACATTAATCATCACAGTATGTCGAAACTAGACGTCTGTCGAACGTGATCGATCGAATCAAAAAGATTCGAACAGCACCTGTGACCCGATAACCCGGGTTACTAGCTTCTAAATAACCCCATCATTTTAGAGTTTCATGGTTCATGCGTGCAATATTCGACTTTATCGATATAATTTTAGAGATTATTCAACAATTCACAATCTTACTGCTGTCTCGTTCACTCTCACGTGAAGTCCCCACTCACGATACGGTTCGCCTTTTCACTCTTCGTTTGAGTCGAACGTTTGTTCGATAGAGCATTCGTTCCATAGAACATTCATCGAACCAAAAAGTAAATCGATCAACGAGTCGACGGATCAATGAGTCTATCAATCATTCATTCTAATTACTTCGTGGCGTAGTGTCCATTATTATGCTAATTTTGTACATTTAATCTATTTTTCGGTATGTTATATTTATTTATGAGTGCACTAGCTAATATTAAAATATGAATGAATAACAAATCAGTAATTTGGATAATCTTAAGTTTTTGTTATGTATTTTTGTGTGGTAGGTGTTACTTTTATTTTTATATACATTACCCATCAGAATAAAAGCTAATTGTATAATTTGACACTTATGGAAGTATCGTGAGCGACGGATGACCCGCTAAAAGATCGAACATATGATCGAATGATTTGACCCGATCACATCACGCATGAGTTATGACCCGGGTTATCAAAAATGTTCGACCGACACAAGTCTAATCGAAACTAGCCCATCACTAGAAAAACAGCTATATAGAATCAATTTTATAAATGAAAATTAAACGTTTACAACAATACTGTTCATTTAATAACACAATTAATAAAAATTTATCTAACATGGAACAGATTGAAGCTAACTTAACGGTTTGAACTCGGTTATCAGCATACTTCAGCAACACTTACACACTAAACATGTGGTTTATATAGGATTTCGTCAGACGTTTCCGTGACGAACATGGAAGCGCAGAATATCTCCTATCGTAAATTTGACATTTTCAAAACACGTAAAAGAAGCAAGCATATCACACAACCATGCGAAATAGCAGAAGAGACCAGAAAGATGGATGATACGCTGTACACAGACGCGGTGCTGATGAGTACTAATAAATGAGGTCCAACCCTAAAACAATAGTGTAATGATGGCTTGAGGTCGAGAAAACGGAATTTGGTGCAAACCAGATTTCTTTGAAATGTGAAGAAGCCATTATAATAATATCAATACCGGAAGCCATAAATTCTGCTGCAGAAGAAATAAGTTTGTATGCCTAGCAACTACATTCTTAGATCATCATTCTTACACCTAATCACTGCACTATATCTCACTGCTATTACAATAGTGTGGTATCTCAAAACATGTGAAATTCAAGATTATACTACTGTTGAACGTAAAATTTGCTTATCGTCAATAAAACGGTCGTTAGAATATTGTAACATACAATTTAAAAATATCTACTTAACTCAAGATGAAACTAACTTTCTGTGAGCTAGTTCTGGACAAAACAGTCCGAAATATAAAATAAGTTTTTCCCTTTGATTTTTAAATACATTTGGTAAGTAAGATACTGTTTAGATGTCTGTAATAAACTTTAATTAATATTTTCCCAAAGTGGTCCCTACCATTTGAAATTTGGATTGTTGTAAAAAATACGTGTTTTCAATTATTTCTTGTGGTGGTTGAAATTTTTTATCTTGCCGAAGTGGGCGATGAACCAAAAATTTGGGAACCTATGCTTTAACCTATACATAAATTTTAATAGTGTGAGACATAAGCAAATCGTTTTTCATTGAATCTGAAAAAATACACTTCGAATTAATACACTGTTGTATTAACAGTTCGACATATCACCAGCGCGTGTCGCCTATCGCCTCTTCCGGCGCGGCTTAATTGGCGGCGCGACGGACACGCTGGCCGAAGCGATCTCTTCTTGCGAGGCCCCTTCTGCCTTTTCCAGCTGCCCACGCGCTTCCACGAAGAACATTACGTCACGGAGTTGCTCTTTGAGCTCTGTCACCTGGAAATTACAATGTTACTTACTAAACGCCTCTATTATTATCGATACAAACTCGGAGAAAACTTCCTTCGATCCGACTGGACTCGAACCAGTGTCCGTTGTCTCATCGTGGCTACCGCTCTTACCTACTGAGCTACAGATCGGATTTTTCTTTGCGTTTGTTAGATCTTTATATCAATAATAACAACAAACTAGTGCAGTATTTTCACAAATATTCAATTTTTAAAAAGACACCATTTTACAATAAAAAATATTGAAGGAGTTAACTAGCGATATTTATTAAAAACACGTACACGTTCGTATCGCAAAGGTGTAAAGACGGCGGAAAGCAATATCCGTATCCGTATTTATTAGTATTTTATACAATCGTTGCATAATGAGGGTTCAGTAATAACCATGAGATTTTTGTAGATATGGAGTGAAGTCGTTGCGTGTGCGCTGCGTTCCACACAGACCACTCTGAAGTGGGCAGTCAATAATAAACCACAATCGGTAGCAGACGTGTTTCCTTTGGCGTCATATTTGATATTTTAATTAGCAAAATTACGACGTTCTTTTTTGAAATTCATTATAGTATAGTCTGTAAATGTTCAGTTCAATAGTGAGTACTATAGACAATAGAATTTTGGTTAAGAACTTAAAAGAGCGCCTTTGTGATGTAGTTTATGAAATTATAATTGATAGATTAAAATACAGGAGTAAGAGAAGAATTAAAAAAGAAAGAAAAGTGACCTCCTTAACGAAGTTGTCCTCCCTCATCTTGGCCCTCGCCTGCCACTCGGCCTGGCTGTTGGCCAGCGCCGACGCCAGGCCGCGCTCCTCCGACAGCTCGCTCTGCAGCGTCGACAGTCTGCGAACAACCGCACTCGTAGTGGCCTGCTCGACTGCGCTGCCAACCGGAGACTCGTACACCGGGAGGTGGACAGGTCACCACTACCACACTTTTTATACAAATTAAGACCCTGAAGGCTCGTGGAACCGACTTCCAGCTCGAGGTTGTCGCGTCTGCCACGAGGAAAGGTCCTCAGCTCCCTCAGCAGAGGAAGTATTCTCAATTGCCACATAGACAGCGTGGAAGACGAGTGTCGTTCCGTTCTTTCATCGCAAGTTTTTTGTTTTATTATACCAAGTGACAAGTTGTGGGCCTGGTGGTAAACGACACGCCTGTCCACAATAGTTGCAGGGCCACTCAGAACTTCAAATCGCAAGATTTGAAAGGCGCTGCCACTGCGCTCGTCACCCTGAGACTTAAGTTGACAACTCCCATGTGCGTGTAATTTCACCAGCACTCTTACCTTTCAAAACCGGAACGCACATGGCTGGACGGCTGAAATACGCAAGGTGCCAGTACTACCTTGGACAAACTTTTTCACAATGAGCTCTACTGCTACTATCACTTACCGACATACCGGTTACTTATATATAAGTAACCGCGGTATGTCGTATTTCTTTTTTGTTAAAAATATTTTAGAAATGCTTACTTAGCAGTCACGTGTTGAAGTTTCTTCTCGAGCGTCTTATTCTCTCTGGTTAGTTTAGTGACTTGTTCCTTCAGCTTGCTAGACTCGCTTTCTACCTCCGAGGCTTTGGTGCGCAGTTCTTCGCATTCAGCTTTATGTTCCGTTTCCATTCTGTAACATTTTCAAAGGAGAACTAATGTTGCCTTCGTACAAAACTAGGTGGCGTTACTGTCCTAACAGACTAAAAAATATTTGCGATGTATACAAGTTCATAGAATACGCACGTGTACTTAGATAATCTCTGAAAAAATACCTTTGTTTTATTTCCATTACTTATTATATTTGTTTGAAAAGTCATTTTAGTATTAATCAGTTTCGTCCAATATCAAAAATTCACAAATTCAGATAGGTTTCAATTTGCCTTGCACTAGACAAATTTATGTTTATTCTTCTGTCCTTGTTGTATTACGGATTCCTTGTCTATACTGAGTTGACAATAAGAACTTCCAACTACCAACCTGCTGCTTATCCGATAATGAGTGACCAAAACGAAGTATTCACCACCAACCTGTTAATCTTCTCCTCATAGAACATCCGTTGGCTGTCGAGCTGGTGCGTGAGAATGTAAGTGAATTCCAGCTGCGCCGAGTCTAGCTTGTCCCCCCCACAGGCCGCGTCCTCCCCCGGCGCGCCCTCAGACGCAACAAGCTTGCCATCCGTCTTGTTCTGCACGAGTCGGTGCACGAAATTGTCTCCTGGGGGCATGGTATCAGAATAAATTTGCCAGACCATAGTTTTTAAGATTTTATTTGGATTTACAGAATCAAATGCTGTTTAAGACTTTTAATATATCTTTATCATTGATATCCGAAATATACCGATTTTGATACCCGAGATTGATACCCGAAACTGTTTAAAACTCTGTCACAGTACAGTAAATAGTCTATACAGGGTGAGTTTTTCATCAGTAACCAAATTTATTTTACACATAAGGTATCATCCATTGGGCCGCCGAGGTCGTCAAATTGTACTTTTGTCTCACGTGTCTCAAGGGTCAAAAATAAAGTCTAATTGTTGTAGTGTAGAAACGAAAATAAATCGGTCATTTTAATTTCTTTCGTAAGTCGTCAAAAACAAATACGTAAGACAGATGTTATTTATATTATTCAAACAATTGTGGATATTGTGTTATGTTATGAATGATAAAGGTTATTAAGTTTTTAATTAAGCATAACGCGCCACTGATCCATCGTCGCAGTGACCTTATAGCGAGTGGCGGGCGGCCGATGGGCGGAGCTCAGCCGCGAGGGAATGATGAGGGAATGTTATAATTGCATCGGTCGGAGTGTATTATGAGCAGTGTCTTAAAACGAGGCCGTTTTTTGCATAAGTTTATGAAGTCATATCTCGACATTTTAGTACTGGATGGTTGATGAAAATATATCATATATTATTAATATTATTAATAATAAACCATAATATTAAAATTTGACTAGTGATACAGGAATCACTCTGTATAACAAACAAAAATGCGACATATTTCAACGAGTAGTAACTGGTGATCGTTTTAAGTTAAAAGAAATTGCTTTGCCGTACGAAATAGAAGTGTTGTGTGAAGATCATGCAGGGGCAAGTATGTCCATGGTTTATATAGTGTTAAACAAAAGTCTGTTGTTATCATGAATACGACCATCATTTGAAACATGTCGGAACTATCTTATATTTCTGTGAATAAAAGTACCTGCGTAATCCCACACTCTGTTGGAACCTAGCTGCAGAGCGTACGTGTGGTTGGATTGCATAAAGTGCTTCGCCGCGTGGCCGCCTTCGTATCTAGAACAGAAATGGGATTTTATAATCGCACAAGCGAGTCGCGAATCTCGCGCAGGTAAGGAGCTATAGTACATTGCGTATTAAGGACGAAAAATAAGGAATCACTGACGAGGGTCTATTAGAAGCTGAGGGTTTTAATAGACCTTCTTTTTAATAATTCGAGTTTTGTGTTTTTTTAGCGTCCGTGATGTATAGAATGTTTTTCATCACATTTGCGAGGAAGTAAATATAATATAAATATGGTTCACGGCACAGTAATTATGGATTTGGCAAATGGAGCTTTTTTAGAATTCTTTCATACATTAATATAACTCCGACTAATGTAGATATTTGATTGGTTATAAAAAAATTGGTAAATTTTTATACAGAAAATAATTAAAATGAATGAATAACAGGTATTTAAGCAGCACGTGGCCGAATTGCAATAAAATTTGTGCTAGACAACATTTTTAGCGAATGACTCGATTCGGGACTCGAGCAACGCTTGAACCGGGGCGTCGCGTTGGAAACGGCCAGAGAAGCGTCGGGGCGAGAGCGGCGGAACGAAGCGAGACCTGCCGCAGCCGACGTGCCCGCAGATGAGGCAGATCCAGAGCGTGCCGCGGCCCACCTCGGCGCCGTCCAGCCCCAGCCCCTCGGCCACGCCGGCGCGCTCGTCGCCGGCGTCGTCGGCGCCGGGCGCCAGCGCGCAGTGGGCGCAGCGCGCGGCGCGCGGCTCGGGCGTCTGCGCCGCGCGGCACACGGGGCAGCGCGCGTCGCGCCAGCGCAGCAGGCAGTCGGCGTGGAAGGCGTGCGCGCACTGCACGGCCAGCACCGAGGCCACGCTCTCGTCCATGCGCTCCAGGCACACGGCGCACGTGGGCAGCTCGGTGTGGCGCGGCGGCGGCGCCCCGTCGCGCGCCCACTCCACGCGCGCCACCCACGCCGCGTGGCACAGCGCGCCGGGCTGCAGGCTGCTGTAGGGCGAGCCGTGGAAGGCGGCGTGGAACTCGCGCGCCGCGCGGCCCGAGCGGAACGTCAGCAGCGCCATGTAGTGCTCGGGCGAGCCGTCGCGCAGCACGCGCACGTGCGCGATGTCGCGCTGGCACGCGGCCGCGAAGGCCAGCAGCTCCGGGGCGCCCAGCGCGCCGGGCACGGCCAGCAGGCACAGCGTGCGCGCCTCCTCCGCCTCGCGCAGCTCGCTGCGGGCCGACCGAGCGCGTCGAGTCGCGGCGCGGGTAAACACCATCAGAACTCACAACCCGTCAAAGAGGAACGGGGAGAAGTGCGCTAGGATTCTCTCCGACAGATAAAAAGAGAGCCACAGATATATGAAGGACCACTAAATTGGAGGACGTCACCAGAACAAGCAAAACGCTAAAGTGGAAGCAGACTGGCCACATATACAGGGACAAAACAGAAATGTGGACCAGAAAGATAACAGAATGGTTGCCAAGGGGAAAAAAATCATCCCTTTAAAACATGGTCCAACAACTTTAAAAAATACCTGAACCTCTATGGACTAGGCTGACAAGAGACAGAGCAAGATGGATAGAGCTGGAGGAGACCTATGCATCTTCAGGATAAGCTGATGTTATAGTTTAAGTAATTTATGAATATAATAAAATGTCAGTACACTATAAGTTAATAAATAAAAAAGTAATTGTATGAATCACGTTTTGGGAACATTTTAATTTATAAAAAATACAAGCTATTGTTTATTACAATTAATGTTATTTATTTATTCATATCTTAATAATCTTACCAGTCCTACCCCTTCAGGAAAAAATAAAACTTAATCCTGATTAGGCACATACATTAACAACCAAGAGCAGTCCTGTAATTCTTTCATTTTTATGCTACATACATTTGTGAATGTTCCATAGTAAAACCACTCATTAATGGTGATGGAAAACATCAAACAACAAAAATAGGAAAACAGTTCATTGTCCTTGGAAAATGTGTAGTATTAGATCAATGAAAAATTTCCATTTGAAAAAATCATATTTTTTCAGAAAAACAAATAGCAAATTTAAAACTTCTTATGTGTCATTTCATTGACAAGAAGTTTTGTAATTATTTGAAAAGCATATTTAAAGAGTAACTGACTAAAAAAAATCTCATGTGAATATCTTCACAATTCAATGAAAATCAAAGAAAATGCTCTACAAAAATTTTACAGGAGAAAGCTTTTTCATTTTTCTATGATAGTTACTTTTAACACATAGAAGATATTGAATTTGCAATGACGAAATGTATTCCTGTATTTTTCCACATTTTACAAAAGTTGAAGATACTGGACGAAAACAATTGAGCCATTGTAAAGATTTTTAACCTATGATTCTTTTTTTCGCTGTTGTCTAATCATTTCAAATCTTATTTTTTGTAACTTGCCTTTAACTATAAAATTTTAATTTATCATTCACGCAAAATAAAACTTCAAAATATATTTCTAAATGTAAAACAAAATATGAGCCTTCAAATTATATTTTTCCAATTTAACGGAAATAAAAAAAAATTGCACTTTTCGGAAAATTACCCAACAGCGGGACATCCCTAACCTGCATTGATCCAGTGTGACAAATTATGACCTTTAGACCTTCTCCTTAGATGAGAAGTACAATGTATAATAGGTTAATGATTGTGAGATGACGTGAAATATTGAGGTGAATGACTGCCGCCCTAACAGGTCATGGTCCATACAATAAACGCCTTTTCAATTTAGGTATCACAGACAGCCCTCTATGCAGAGTGTGCATGGAGGGGGAGGAAACGGTTGCGCACATCCTACTACAGTGTTCCGGCGTGGCCAACTACAGGGCAAAGTACCTTGGAGTGCCAAGGTCGCTCCCCGAAGTCTTCAGCAAACCGAGGAGGCTGCTGAGATTCCTGGAGGAGCTTGGGTGGCACGAGTAGGACCCTGCACCCACCACACGCAAAATAGGCGCCTTGTCGTCGAGTTGTGGACACCAGCCCGTTACACCAAGTACCAAGTACCAAGTAGGTTAATGATGATGAAATAACTACAATCATTATGTTACTCACTTCTCCTTATACAAATGTAGCACACCTTTAGTAACTTCTACCAAAGGATTTCCGCAAAAAAAGCTTATAGTCTCCTCATCTTCAGAAACGCTGTCTTCAGGCGGAGGACGTCTTGAACTTGTTGGTAATATACCAGTATCAGTGTTAGGACCTATTAAGACGCTAGCATATGTCTCTACAGTGATGGTTTTGGTCTCCCGTTCACCGCGATCTTTCTTCTTTTGCTCTTTCACTGCATCTTTGAAAAAATACATATTTACATTCAATAATGCTGCGTATTTTTGATGGACTTATTTTGATGATATCAACGCTTTGCATATTGATCATACCTGATTATTTTTAAGATTTGCAATATACAAGAGCGGGTGGTAAGTGATAATGAGAAAACAAAGAAAGTTGGTGTCAGATTATTGAACATCAACAATGAATGAATTTATTTTTCGATATTTAGAGATGATTAAAATTTTGGGCAATATTTTTTTATTAACTTACCCAGATCCACTGTATTATCAGCCATTTCTGGAAGATCTTCGTCAATTTCTATCCGTAATACGCACAAAGATACAGACATTTAAAAATCCAAATATTTCACTCTGAATTGCAGCAAAACAAAATGATACATCGGAGATGTGTTTCACAATTAATAATCTTTTGGAGAGAAAGATAATCGATGAGATTAATCAGTTAAAATTGCAAATGCAAAGTAAAAACAAAAACTTTCTGTGAAATTTTGGTACTACAACTTATTTACATAGTTTATGATCATTGATTTTTATCACAGTTGCAAAGCTGATAATAACAAGTGTGAGTGAATCAGAAATAAATTAAGACACATCTACAATTCCGTAGGGTTATGCTATTGACGTTTGCGTATCATAGACAAGGCGATAATTTTTTCGCTATCTTGTAGTCTATGGAAACGTTCTGATACAGTTCAATGTAAAAATCACCATATTACACATTATCTATGACTTCATTCAAACTACATTCTAATGATTGATTTTCCGGAGTTTTTGTAATGATCAATAATTAATATTCTTACCTGAAAGTTTTCTATAATAGTGACTATTCTTCATACCAAATGTGTTAATAAAAACATGAATATTAAATTCCAGGTTGAATTGTATATTTGTATCCAATTTTTTGCTGTCATATTTCATGATTCTCATTGGTGAATTAACTTTCGCAAGATTGAAAAAAAGACAATATTCAATATGGTGGATTATCATTCGACGTGAGCTGTCAGCTGTAATAATTTTTGTTTCCTTGTGTTTATTACACGTCTAAAAATGTTATGATCGCGAAATACACGCGAATATGGGTGCAAAAGACTCAAAACCTAGTTTTATATCGTACGATGACGCAGTGAAGCGAGGTTTGTGATGTGCGAATTGATGAAAGTGCGTCGGGAGATTACAACGAATACCAGCTTATTGTTTTATTTGCAGTGTCTGATAGTGAGTTGAGACGTATCCGCGAGGCGTTCAAGAGATGTGCCGGTGCGAACGGGACGGCCTTGAGCCTGGATGCCTTCGTGCACGAGGTGTTGTGCGATGGAGTTCCATACGAGGTCGCTGAGTGGCTGTACCAAGCGTGTGGTGGCACCAGGCGGGGTATCGCTTTCAGAGAATTACTCTGCGGGATCGTGGTACTCACTAAGGGCAGTCTCGAGGAAAAAATCAAGTAAGAACCGGTTGCATAAACAGTTTTATCACATGTAAACAGTTGCATCATGTTTTTATAACATAAACAATAATTGTCGTAGGTTTTTATGGACGTTGTACGTGAACAATCAGAACGATAATGGGACGTATTTGTATAAGAGGGACTTTACTTATGCGCTGCACTTTGAGAATAAATCATTGCCCATCACGGGTGCACACAAGACTGCGGAGGTATTGACTGGTCTATTTGGAGTTGGAGATAAAGTAACCTTCGAACAGTTTCGGTCATGGCTCCTGATACACAAAGATGCCACAGTGCTATCTAAGTGGCTGCTTTCAGACCGTGTGAATGTTTCTCAGGATTTAGAGACTCCCACTTTTTATCAAAGTTTGGCTGGTGTCACACATTTGGAGGAAAGGGTGAGTGATATCACTTTTTTAACTTTAAATCTATTAAGTATTTAATGACACATTGAAGAATTGGTCATTGATCTTGAATTGTTAGTGAATTTAAATTCTAAACAAGATCCCACATCAATTTCTTTTTAAAGAAACCTAATCTGAAACCTAAATTTATTAAAGTATTTCCTAAAACACTTCCTAGTTCTCTGTACTAATTTTAAAAGGTACTTTAGGAAAAGACTGGTTCTAGTGAAAAGATATCTTGTATTCATTTTGTTTACGTAAAGTTTTATAACATATATTGGAAATAATTTATAATACTTATTAGTATTATAAATTATTTCCATCATGTAACTAAAACTAGGCCACTATAATAATGTAAACAAAGCTAAATATGTGAAATAGAAATTTTTGCCTATTCCTTCAAAGATTCTTTTCTTAAAGGTTTAAAATTATGCAACCAAGTCTAGGTGAATTTTCTTTTGTTACTTTTAGATAAATAGGCATATGCCAAGTCTTCGGTCTATTATTTCTTTTATAGGCTATAATCCTCGTCTTCAATGGGTCATCATATCAGAGAGAAGTCAATTCAGGGTATAGAGTTCAAATGCCTGGCAAAGTTACGATTCCTGGAATGTCAATTCCAATGATCACCAATTCCGATTATTTGGTTTGACTATTGACAAGAATTTTTTTCATCATACTCAGATTTTCATCCATCATGCTCAGATTTTAAAAATTAAGCATAAAGTAGTAAGTAAGTAGCAATCACTTTACAAACCATTTAGATATTAGAATTATGATATTATACTTTTTTTTCTTTTAATATAACTGTAATTGTTTATAATGCTTACTGGTTTGTAATGATTTTTGGACTTTTGATCAACAATCATATTGATTCTTCAGGATTAGATTCCAATGTTACCATAAATGCGTTATTGATGCAGCTTATTTTGATTCTCATACTCTCTTGATCTGTCTAGTCAAAGGTTTGTTTTTTAAGGAAAAAGAATTTTTGCATAATCATGGTAATATTAATAAAATGATTATATGTATATAATTTTGAATTTTTTATTTAGCTCTCATAAATGTTGTAGTTTGGTTTTTACGCCTTTTCTTCCTGCATTGTTGTCTTGTTTTTGATCATCACAAAGGCAATTCCAATTATGACTCATGAATTATAGAACTTCACATTAATGTAAATAAAAGTGTAAAGACTTCCTTCCTTCTCTGGGATAATATAAGAAATAATATTGATCAATTTTATTATTAACGAAGTTGTTATTTTTTTACCTAGAAATTAAAGTCACAGCTACATACTGCCTACATTTGAATAGTCGGCCTCTCAATTGAGGTTAGAAAAAAATTAAAGTTAGTCTTAAAATTTGTTTTTTTTTGTTTTTTTTGTTGCTGTAAATGTAATGGAAGATGAAAGGGGAAACCTTGTCTAACAGTGAGATGATGCAGGTCATTAAAAACAGACTTAGTACATAAAAAAAATATTCTACAATCTGCTGTTACTTGAATGGGTTTTGTAATGTATGTTAACTTCAAATTACTATGGAACAAAATGAAAATACAGCTATTTCTCTCACATTATAAGATGAGTCTTGTGTTTAACAATCTTTCCTAATATAGCTCTGAGCTGGTATTTTGATGAGGCCGTGCATTTCTTGGATTCGGTTGTGTAATTAGAATTGTAGGTTTACATTGTAATTTGATTTCTTTTATGTATATTCAGTTTCTGTGTTCTTGTTTATTTTTTCTTTAATATAGCATACCGTCAGAGTTTCGTCTATGTTGCACGTGTTAATAAAATACCATTCTAATATGATATAGCTTTGACAGGTACTGGGATTTTAATTTTCCACCACTCCATAAAATTCTCTCTTTGCTAATATTAGAATTTTTTTTTAAATCGAAATCAAAAATATCCTTATTTCATAGGTCAACAAATTATACTTCAAATCATTTAATGAAACACCCATTCATAAGGCAGATTCCCTGAGAACAATGGGTAAGAATCTAGGGTTGTTCTTCTTGTAAATAAATGTTTGTACTCTTTTATCATTTACTATATTCATTTCAAATATCACATAAAAACAACCTGAAAGATATAAACAGGTCACTAGCATGGATTTTTATCATCCAAGTATGCAGATTCTATATAAGTATAAACCTTAGTGTAATTTTTGTTCACTACTGTTTTAAACCTCGTGAATGGCAAATTTTTAATATCAACTAGAATCCTATTGATACCTCCAATGAACGCTACTCCAATTTAATTTTTGTTTTTGTTTCGAATTTTGTTTTTTGTTCCTTTGCCTTTTTACAAAATTCGGGGAGGGTAAAATTAGTAAATAAATATGGCTGTTTACAAAAATAACAGAAAATTACCAAAAAAAGTTGACAGAGTGTTAATTTGATGTATCATTATTATTTAAATGTATACATTCTTCCTTAAATGAATTTGTAACTGTGAAGAGGACTGTCAAGGCCAGCCAAGGTTTTTTTATGTCTCATGTTATGACTATCACTATTTTTCATGTAAAAGTTGCCATTCTTCTTAACATAAATTGCATTTTCATGAAGAACTGTGACATTAGTGTAAGAATTTTAATTTCTCTAAACTTATCTCTCGGAGATATTCAACACTGAAAACAAGCAAACATATTTGTGAAGACATTCGTGAATTTCGTTTTTCTTAAAGGTTGACTGGTAGAGAATGCTTTTAGCATTAAGTCCGCCTTTTGTACCATCATGT